AAAGCATTGACCGACAGCACTAGAGGCCCAGCCTAGAGGCTAGGAATTTTCAAGGACACACACCTACAGAAATCGGATCACCCTCCAGCACCTCATTTGTTTACCAAACCACCTGGTAGTCTGTGAAATGCACCAAAGTTGGGATCCAGGATCTCAGGATCACACATAGTAGATACCGTTCCATTTTAACTTAGACTGCAAGGAATTTTTCTAACAAGTATCACATCCGGTTTCATGCTACCCTCCCTCTCTCTCACATCGCATTAACCCGATGGTTTGCCCTGGGAAGACACACAGTGAGTCCCCCTCACAGTTGCTCTGGGACTTGGGTTACAGAACATTGCTACATGAGTTCCCTTTAGAACAATTTCTTGCTTCCTTTTTTGGATTATGAGAGAAAGTCCAAATACATATTTTCTTTTTAAATTTTTATTGAATTTATTTTGGTGACATTGGTTAATAAAATAATATAGGTTTCAGGTGTTCAGTTCTATAACACATCACCTGTATATCGCATTGTGTGTTCACCACCCCAAGTCAAGTTTCCTTCCATCACTATCTATACCCCTTTTATCCCTTCTACCCCCCGCCTCCCCTTTTCCCTCTGGTAATTACCATACAGTTGTCTGTCTATGAGTTAGGAGCAGGGGTCCTCAAACTATGGCCTGCGGGCCACAAGCAAATACAAATATTGTATTTGTTCCCGTTTTGTTTTTTTTTTACTTCAAAATAAGATATGTGCAGTGTGCATAGGAATTTGTTCATAGTTTTTTTAAAACTATAGTCCGGCCCTCCAACAGTCTGAGGGGTAGTGAACTGGTCCCCTTTTTAAAAAGATTGAGGACCCCTGGTTAGGAGGCTGGGTGAAAAAGGTGAAGGGATTAAGCAGACACAGCAACCATAGTTTCTTAATTTGGGGATCTTCTGAACATTTAATGCCATTAAATTCATTACCCATAGAAAGAGACTCACAAAGTAGACAAAGAATATACTACAGTAAGCATATTTCAGAAAAATGAAACCTGAAGACATGAATTCACACATCTGGCAGTGATTCATAATTGAATATTATTTTCTCTCTAGTTATGATGGTTTGCATCAGCCTCAATCCTCAAACTGAAAGTAGCTGAGCGATATTGCTGAAACCTTCCCTTTATCCCAGCTCCATCTGTGCACAATAAAAGGTTTAACTAGAATTCACTCTGCTAGCATCACATGAGCAATTTCAAGGAAGGCATTGAAAGAAAATGATTACCTGAGGAGCCTCGGGCTGCAGGGAAATCTCTCCCTTGTAGGGCGTGCTTCTAACAGATGTCCGTGAGGAAGAACATGGAGGGCAGGACCATTTCCTATGTGACTGCATTGCCATCGGTCAGCGACAGTAAACATTTGTAAACTAAGAAGGAGGCTGACATGTTCCATGATGAGAGATAATCAACACAAACTTCCAGTCTGGGGAAGTTCACTCAGGAATATATGAATACGAATAGTATGTTTCTGAAACATACTATTTTCTGATTCCGACCAACTCATGTTCACTAAAAGCTATGGGTGAATTTTACATAGTCCTTTGCCATATGATATGATTACACACCTAGTTCTGGTCACTTAAGATTAGCATCACAGATCTACTATGGAGCCATAATGCCTTGTGACTGCTGCACAAGCCAAATAAAACTGGTGATGAGCACATATGTGGCTGAGAATGAGAGGTCAGGGGCTTTCTTCGTATAGCAGACTAAAAAGCCTCTGTGACTGTGATTCCGAACTTCAGGGTGTAAAATTAAAGTGGAGCGGTGTTTTAAAATCCCTATTCCTCAATCCACCCCAAAGAGGTTTTGACCCACTAACTCCTGCATTGGGCGCTTGAAACTGCATATTTCACAAATACACCTGGCGATTGTGGTGCAGATTATTATATGGAGCATTTTACTGTGACTTAGGAGAAAGCTGTATCACAATGTGATTGGTTTCCATTGACGAAGCCTCTAACAGTGGTTCTCAACCTTCCTAATGCCGCGACCCTTTAATACAGTTCCTCATGTTGTGGTGACCCTCAATTTCATTGTTACAAATTGAACATAATTAAAGCATAGTGATTAATCACAAAAACAATATGTAATTATATATGTGTTTTCCGATAGTCTTAGGCGACCCCTGTGAAAGGGTCGTTTGACCGCCAAAGGGGTCGCGATCCACAGGTTGAGAACCGCTGATCTACTGTGTTAAGTGAGACCTTGACTACCTCAATATTTTCATTAGCAGTGTGGGGAAGGGCAAGGAAAAAAAAAAAAAAGGTTTACACAAGATAGAAGTGACATGTCAATCCCGGTTTTTTTGGCAGTCACACTGCTATTCTCAAATTGTAATTCTAGAGCCACAGCAAAGGGCATGGTCTGAGCCCCAGAAAAAGGAAAAGCCGCTGTGTGAGAAAACTGGGTTCAGCTTCACAAACCCCACTTCCACCGTGCCTGTGTCTTCAGGGTGGGGACAAGGAGAACACTGGATAGCCAGGGAACGCCTGAGGCCTAGCGGCCAGCCTGCATCCCAAACATCACCCCTGCCCTCCCTAGGATGCCGGCCTGAGCCCGCCTCCCAGTACCACATTCCCATTCTTCCATTTTTTAAAAATATATTTTTATTGATTTCAGAGAGGAAGGGAGAAGGAGAGAGAGATGAAAACATCAATAATGAGAGACAATCATTGATCGACTGCCTCCTGCACATCCCACACTGGGGATGGAGCCCAAAACCCAGGCATGTGCCCTGACCAGAAATCGAACTGTGAACTCCTGATTCATAGGTTGACACTCAACCACTGAGCCACACCAGCTGGGCCCACACCCCCGTTCTCATCCTTACCCTCGGCAGCGCCCTGAGCTCCCAAAGACATTTCTAACCAGCCTTCCTCATTCAAATGTCTTCTGTGCTTTGGTGTGTTGGGTCCTTGATGCCAGTGTTCTATAAGCTGTCCGGATGAACCAGTGCTTCCTATGGCTAACACAATGCATGGTGCCAGCTTGCATGTGTGTTTTCCTTTCTTATAATATTTACTCCTGCCCGAGTGACTAATGATAACTTCAGGCCCCTAGAAAGAATGGCCAGGTAAACATTTGGACTCAGGAGACATCTAGAGACTCCTGAAATCATACCATCAGAGGGTTCATCGTGCCAACCTTCTCCGCAGACTCTCAGTGGCCTCTGCAAACCTGCCCTTATCCTCAGCCTTTCTTTCCTCACCCCAGCCTTTGTGTTCACTGCACTCTCTCAGGCTTCGTTAGCCTAAGGAAAGGTATCTTTACTTAAATATAGGGCCATTACCTAAAATTTAAGAAAATAGAGAGCATGAGCACTTGGAACTCCCGAGAGATATAAATCAAGGTGCAAGGCAGTGTAGCAATGGGAGTTAAGTAGGGAAGCTGATTTGGAAAACATGACAGACTAAATGAGGCTCTGACTTGCCTAACTTCTCTAGCTTCACAAAGGCCAGCAATTGCTTCAAACCAAGATGGGTCAAAAAAGGCAGCTCTAAAAGCACAGGAAATAAGGATAAACTTCTGGTTTTATTTTTTATTTATTTTATTCTTGAAGCATTTTTTAAATGTAATAATTGTTCTTAAGTAGAGATGCTTAATAGACTTGTTAATTAGTCAATTTCTAAATGTGGCCATAAAGAGGCCCCAAATAGGAAAAAAAAAAATACTAAACAGCTTTCTATGCTTACTAGAGAGATTGGTCTTGCTTATTAGGACAGAAAGGACATCAGTTTGACAGAAATAACCTTTTTCCTGTTGCTGAATCAATAGAAAATGACTGAGGACTTTTATATAATGAGTACTCTGGGAGAGATCATTACAGAGCATTGAGCTAATTTGGAGTAACCTCGTATTCTCTTCTTCTAAAAAAAAAAGAAAGAAAGAAAAGAAAAAGAAATCAAAACAAACGGAACCACAACACCAAACAAAGTGGGAAATTCTCACTGTAGTTAGTATCCTGACTCTGTTTGGCACTGACTCTTTGAAAGTGAGACTCTTTTTTTTTTAATTGATGTCAGAGAAGGAAGGGAGGTGGAGAGATAGAAATATCACTGATGAGAGAGAATCATTGATTGGCTGCCTCCTGCAGGCCCACTCCTGGGGATCAAGCCCTGCCTGGGAATTGAACTGTGACCTACTGAGTCACACTGTGTCAACACTCAACCACTGAGCCACACTGGCCAGGCGAAGGTGAGACTTCTTAATAGGTAAATCAAATTGCTGGATAAAAATATGCACCAATGTAATTACATGTGAATAAAACTATATGAATAAAAATGAAACAATAACACATACAGATCAGCCTGGCCTCTGGGGCTTGTCAATTACTCTGCTGGTTGGTGGGTTTACAGATAATTACATATCCAAGCTCTCCTACAACAAAAGTAAAAGAAAAGAAAAACATACATATATAGCTATATATAGAGATAAGTGTATTATGTTATACTAGAGGCCCGGTGCACAAAATTTGTGCACTGGGGGGGGGGTGTCCCTCAGGCCAGCCTGCACCCTCTCCAATCTGGGACACCTCGGGAGATGTCCGATTGCCAGTTTAGGGGATGTCCAACTGCCTGTGGGATCGGGTATAAACCGACAGTCGGACATTCCTCTCACAATCTGGGACTGCTGGCTCCCAACGGTGTGCCTGCCTGCCTGCTTGATTGTCCCTAACCACTTCTGCCTGCCAGCCTGATCACCACCTAACCACTCCCCTGCCAGTCTGATCAACACCTAACTGCTCCCCTGCCAGCCTGATCGCCCCCAACTGCCCTCCCCTGCCAGCCTGGTCCCCCCCAACTGCCCTCCCCTGCTGGCCTGGTCATCCCTAACTGCCCTCCCCTGATGACCTGATTGCCCACAACTGCCCTCCCCTGTCAGCCATCTTGTGCCTGTGGGTGCTGCCATCTTTGAGGGTGGGGCAGACAATTAGCATATTCCCTCCTTATTGGCTGTGGGCTCTGCCATCTTTGTTATGGTGTGAGGGTCAATTAGCATATTCCCTCTTTATTAGATAGGATTGACTATGTCTGAAATAAGAAAGTCTCAAACTACTGTAATCTTATATCAGAAAAGCACAAAGCTACAAATACTTACCCATGGTATTTTCTCATCTAAAAATCATATTTGTGAAAAAATATAGAATGTGCAACTTCCACATTCTTGGGCTCCAATAAAAATTAAGCTGAAAACAGATTTTTTATGCAGTGGGGATTTGGAAATTAGGAGTATCAGGTCTTACGATCTCCTAATCATTTCCAATATTCAGAGCAAAAGTGAGTCACATGAAGAACTTGGTTCCATTGGGGTATCGGTTATCTTGACAATATTCTTGAAGACCACCGTGCATGCAAAGGTATGGAGAACAATGGTTGCTAGGGTGTCATTTGTTTTTGTTTGACTTATTTTCTGTGAATTGCATATAACATCACATAAAATTGCATATCCCATCACATAAAATAGATATTTAATTGTGTGTGCTTTTTGTAAGGGAAAACGGCAATGTGCTACGTTGTTTTTGTATATTAGTTATAGAAGATCCTGGGTTTTTACAAATGGTTTGCAAATGTTCTAAGTCTCTGGCGACAAGATGCTTCTCAGTTTTACAAATTAACTGACAACAAAAGAGAAATAAAATAACACAAAATACCAGAAAAAAAGGAAATACATTCATGTTTACCTTTCAGTATACCAAAACTAAATGCATACCCATTTTATAAATAACTATAAAATAACCTACTCAGTGAATCTGCTTACTAACAAAAATTGGGAAAAAAGTGCTAGCAGATCTTGGCCAGGACTCTGTGGCTAACAAGTCGCACTGTATGGATCACAGCAGAGGTCCTCTGCAGGATCTGAACGACGAACAGGTTGTGCAAAACGCTGGCGCACGCTCTCCGCAGGCCAGTTGCTGAAGCAACATCTGTGCTGCAGCACATGGGGCTTCAGACTTCACTCTGCTCACTGAGCTTGCTCAGATTCTGAAATTGAAAAGGAAGCAGTAAGCACATGCTGCTGACCAGTTAAACAAAACCACGGTCGGAATGGAGGCACGCTCCCAGCCACGCCAAGAAAAGCCTGCTATGTTTAGAGGGCATCAGTTAGCAGTTTAAAGCTCCAAGGCCAGGACCAGAGTGCTGACTTTGAAACCGGCTCCATCACTTACAAATGGTAGAATTCCCTGGGCCTCCGTTTCCTCGTTTGTTTGTTTTTTAAACATGTTATTTCTTTATTTCTTTTGGGAGGACATCATGATAAAACAATTTTATTCTTTCTCACCACATGTCCCAGATGGAGCATTTCTGTTTTGTTTTGTTTTCCCTTTATATTGAATTTATTGGGGTGACACTGGTTAACAAGATTATACAGGTTTCAGGTGCACAATTCCACAGCACATCATCTGTACCCTGTACTGTGTGCTCACCACCCCAAGTTAAGTCTCCATCCATCACCATTTATCCCCCCTAAACCCTCCTCCACCACCCCACCTCCTTTCCCCCATTAATCACCATACTGTTACTATTGTTCCCTTCACCCCCACCCACCCAGTTTCCTCATTTCTAAAAAAACAGGTTAAATAATAGTATCTTCCTCATAAGTTCGTAGCCAATTTATTGGATTAATATGGGTGAATTTCTTATCATATTCCTCGATCGATGAATGTTAGGAGGTCATTATAATAAGAATAGTAGTAGTCATGTTATTATTTTGTAAATACATACTCTGATAGAATATAATAGGAACGACTCTGGGAGGCATCAAATTCTAGTCTAGGGATGAGAAAAGGCAACGTGATTTAAAATCAAGGAAAAATTACAGGAAATCAGAGCTCTAGGAACAGTCCTAAGACTAATCATAAAGCCCAGTATTTGGAGGATAACTTGGATAATTCAGCGTGAGTGCTGGGCTTTCTAGATACTGTTTCCAAAGATGGCAATATTTGTAGAGTCAAGGGCATCAGAGCAGGAAAAAAGCTATAATGCTATGTTTAGAGTTTTGGTAGTTGACAGAGGTAGATTCAAATTCCAAGGATAGTGGATCCTGCAAGAAAGAAGCATTTATTCTGCAAGCTAGCAGTCTGTACTGAATAGGTGCTCACCAAATCCTCTATGCCATGATACTGTTAGAAAATTTAAATTATTGGATAATGTTCATAACTGGTCAAAAAAGAAATGGAAACATTTCTTTACTTGAGATAGAGGCCTCTGAGGGGCCACATTTTAATGGAGTTTTAGATGCCAATGGAATAATGAGCTAATATTTAAACATACAAAGCCCTTGATTTTACATTCTAATTTTTCTTATAACTGTAGCAGGACGACTTACTTGTCTCACTTTATTCGAATGGATGTCACTTATTGCAGCAGATACTGATTTAAAAAAAATTGGTTCCTCTGAGTCTAGGTTTCCAAAGTACTGCATGGCTTTTACCAAGGAAGCTACAAGAAAGCACAAGCGACGTAAGGTGTACATAGCAGCTGGGATCATGTTCAATTGTTCGAGGAGTCATGTTAGCCAAGGACTTTCCGTTTCTCACCTGTGCAATGGGCTAATGATACATCCACACTCCTGCTCTGACAGTCCCTGTAAACCTGGAAGAATTAAAATAGGATACCACAGTTAATGCAGGGTAGCCGGCAAGAGGGGACAACAAAGGCTTCAAGAGCGAGGACAATTTCCAGCAAAAAGAAGCAATTTTTATGTCAGACCACCAGAGGGCGGTATTGCTGCACAGTCGGGCATACCCTGGCAAGCTTCTGCAAGAGACTGTCTTAGCAAAGAGGAATGCATCAGGGCATTTTACCTTTAATGCAAATACATTTGTCTGCTGACATTTTCCACTTGGTTTAATGAAAACTTTTTTAAAAGTTACCTTTTCTTCCCTATAAGATTTATATAAAATTGTTCTCAACCTTCTTTTATTGGAAGTTAAGGACCCATTTATAAAAGTGATGAAAACAGCTGACTAATATTTGTACAATTGTGCATATTCATGGACTCTCGAAATCCCACCCCTGAATGGTAAGTTGAGAACCCCACTATACTTGAAACCAAGTTCGATTGTCCTACTTCCATTTTCAGGATCCATCAAGATGAGAGATCCTAAATGATGTGCTTGCCACACTGTAAGGTCTTGCTTCATTTAAGTCCAAGAAAAGCTCAAATTAAAAAAAATAAAAAAAATAAAAATAAAAAGCTCAAATAGGAACAAGATATTGAAGACCCTGATCTTAAACTCACCCAGACAAAAATCAGCCCAGCAGTTCCAGTAAATCTAGAAGTTTTAGTAACTATAGGATGGATTTTGTAACATAATAGTGACGTATCATACATATAAAATAGAAAGCAGCAATTAAACACATTCTAAGATTATGCATGATACATCCAAAAATTTCCCTTGTGTTCTTGTAGCAGTAGCCAGGTCTGTGTTAGAACTGCAGACTACGAGATATATTGCTCTGAGCATGAACACACACACAAACAATGAAACAAATAAGGAATACATGAACTGAGACTTGGCCATGGAATACATAGTTCCTGCTTTTATAAGGTAAAATGATTAAGTCAAGGTGACCTGACAGTGTTTGACTTTTTCTGAAGCTCAGTAAAGCACAAACACAGTGCCATGGGTGGTGTGTGGATGCTGATAGACATAATCTGTAGTTTGTTGACCTCTCCGGTGTCCTAAGTATAAAAATAAATAGAAGTCTTTCCATTTGCTTCAACCTCTAACTCCTAGGAGAATGTTTCTTATGCTAAAGCAGCTAAGAAAGCAATCCAGGAAATGTTATTAAAAAGCAGAAGAGCATGGATGAACCCAGAGAGCATTATGCTAACCAAAATAAGCCAGTCAGAGAAAGATAAATATCACATGCTCTCACTCATTTGTGGAATATAATGAACAACATAAACTGATGAACAGAAACAGATCCAGAGACAGAGAAGCATCAATCAGACCGTCAAACCTCAGAGGGAAGGTAGGGTAGGGAGGGGGGAAGGGGGAGAGATCAACCAAAGGACTTTTATGCATGCATATGAGCCTAACCAATGGACATAGACACTTGGGTGGGTGGGGCAAGAGCGGAGGGTTGGGGGGGGGGAATGGGGGGATAAGGACACATGTAATACCTTAATGAATAAAGAATTAAAATAAATAAATAAATAAATAAATAGCAGAAGAAATTCACGCTGAAGAGACTCTGTGGCCCTTTACGGTGACCTCCTTTCAGGATGGCTGCAATGAAGACATATCCTAGTTGCAATGATATTATTTCCATTTTAAGAAATAACGATTGCCTCAAGGTCTATGTCCTTTGCAGAGAGTGGGTGAGGTGAGAATTGAAACAAGCAGAGTCAAGACCACAGAGCTGAGAGTCGAAGGTGGAAACCCGGTTACTGAAGGGAAAGGAAGGGCTCAGTCCACACACACCCTGTGTCCATACCTCAACCAGCACGGAGACGCCAGAAGAGTCAAAAAAGGCCAACCCGCTGCAATCCAGGACTACGGAGCACGCCCTCTCCTCTGGGCAGGGCTGTGACGCTTCTTCTGTGGGAGGAACATAGTAGGACTTGGGTTAGGACGATTCTTCGAGATTTCTGCTACTGATTTTGTTGAAAAGTGGCCCAATAACAGCGGCCTCGTGTTTCATGAGACTAATTCCAAACACTTTTTAATCTTCACATTTTCAATTGATTGCTCATTATTTCCAAAATCTTTGCTTTTGTGTTATTCAGAGGCTATTTCAGGTAGTTACTGTGTAACTCAGAGAGGAAGATGGGGAGAGGTTAACTATCAGTGTCATTCCGCAGATAGATGGACTGAAGCTCAGGAGTTTAACAATCTTTTTGATAAAAGATCTGGCCAGTTAGTGCCAACGGACTAGAACCGAAGCCTGAAGCCATTCTGCAGAGGACTCCTTTCCACAACCTCACAGTTTCCTTTCTGGGTGTGGCCAGAGGGAGAGCCTGTTTTGTTGTGCCTGGAGCTTACACAATTTTGGAGTCAGACTTTTAAGGAAAATATTCATCCTGGAAGCTTGTCTGCTGGCCTTGGGAAGGCTCTGAAGGAGGGGCCCTGAAAATTAGGTTTCAGTGGGTTCCTGGGAAATCTGCCTCTGAAAGCACCTGTTGGGAAAAATAAACATTTCTGCATAGGAGTTCGTGACGTTTTGTCACTGATGTCCTAAGGGCCACACTTTCCTCGTGGGAAATGACATACTTCCAAAACAATGACAGGCCCCATCTGAGGTCCCTCTAAGGCAGTGGTTCTCAACCTGTGGGTCGCGACCCCTTTGTCGGTCGAACGACCCTTTCACAGGGGTCACCTAAGACCATCCTGCATATCAGATATTTACATTACAATTCATAACAACTGTAGCAACATTACAGTTATGAAGTAGCAACGAAAATGATTTTATGGTTGGGTCACAACACGAGGAACTGTATTTAAAGGGCCAGAAGGTTGAGAACCACTGCTCTAAGGAGTGATGAGGCTCTCCAAGCAGACCTAGGAGGCTAAGGTTTTCTCACCATAAGAGGACAAAGTCAGTCAAGTATGTCCCAATGGACTAATTATTATGAAGTTCTCTTAAAAATGAATTCTTCATTGGAATCACTTGCCACTTAAAATGCCCATGGTTTTTCTCCTTATGGTAGCTACAGCAAAGTGGGAATATGGTAGAATCTCAATGAGCATTTGAAAGGAAGTATAAAGGAAATTGTGTGTTTTAAAAAATTGCTGCTTAAAAAAAAATTGCTGCTTAGAGGAAAATACAGGCAAGCGGAAAATATAAAATAAATACTGAACACTTGTGTATAATAGTAACTGATAGGAAAAGGATAAATGCTACAAAGTGGTTTTAATATATTGAAAATTACTATTCAGGCAGAGAATTTGTTTCCAAGTTTCACCTTTAGATCTACATTAATAGTTATGAATTGAAAATAACAGTATATACTATGTTCAAAAAAATTTTTTTTCAAATGTAATGAATGGTACAGATGTGAGGAAGGTCCTATTCCTTCTAGGAGTGTACCCATGAGTGGCAAAGATAAATAAAGTGATTTAAAATGAAAAGAAAAAGGATGGGAATTTACAAGAAAGGAGGTCTCTTTGGAGTGATTAAGAAGACTGCATGCAAAAGTAGTCTTGAAGGATATATATACTTTCAAAAAGTAGAAATGATATGGAGATTTAAGCATTCCAATCATATGGATAGCTTTAATTGAACACTGATGACAGACTGAGATCTAAAACTCCTCCTGTTCCTATTCAACCAACATTTATTGAGCATCTACTGCATGCCATGCTTCTCCCTTCCTCTCTGAAACCAATAAGAATATATTTTAAAAAAATAAATAAAATGGCAAATTAGAACCTTAAACAAAATGGGAAGTGATCACAATATAGTTCATCCACTGACCTCTCACCAGCAATCACTAACATGAACTATTTGCCGAATTAAACAGAGGACCTACCTCTATTATTCAAGGGCTTTTATTTATATTCTCAAATATAACCTGTCCCTGCTCATTAGCAGAGATAACAGTGAATCCAGATCACAGGAAAAAGAAAAATACGTATCCCAAGCAAAGATAAACATTTGTATTTATCCATTTTATCTCCTAGTCTCATAATACACACACACACACACACACACACACACACACACACACATACATATACACACATCGATGCTATATTAATTAGTTTATAGATACTATATTCCACTTTGTTTAGAGTTATAGTAAAAGAATTATTCGATCAATATTAAATAAGTTGCACATTACTTAATCTGGGACATGTGTTTCCTTGCATATTTTTATGATTCATAAGTATATTTTTACTTAATTTGGATGAATTTTCAGAGCTTAAAAATACCTAAAAATTAAACATTAAACTTCCTTAGAAAAGTTTAATATTTATAGGATATATATAAAATATATATAATAGATATTTTCTTACCAAGTTAAATATAAAAATAGTTTCAGTAAGACTAATCATATTTGCAATTTTCCATGGAGTTCAATATTTGAAGGGTTCCTATGCACATACTTTTCAACACATCTGTTTTAGAAATAAAATGTATAGGATCTATTTAAAGGCAGTAGTGAACTGAAGTCAACTCACACCAGCTGTTTTGACATCTTTTTAATATTTCAATTGTGTCCATATTTCCTCAGCTACATGTTTAATAATAGTATGTTGTTAACTTGAAATTAGCCATAGTAGAATTATTTATACCATGGATATTGGCAAATGCTACAGATCAGTTCTTCTTCACCACCCCATACTATATCCTCTGCCCCAAGAGTTGTTTGTTAAAGATTTACCAGCACATTACTGCTTAAAGTGGATACTATAGTTAAACATAAAGAAAATAATTAGTAATTTTAAAAAACAAATGGCTTTGATTATATAAATGACTTACTCTATTGACATCTTTAGCAACGGTTCTTAAAATGACAGTGATGACATAATTTGTTACCAAAATCAGTCAAGTTCTTTTTATTCATGTACTTATAGAGCTCTGTTCTTAACAAAAGGCGTGTCTTTTACAACACAGTACGTATTTCAAAATAAACTACAACCTAAAATTCATAGTCCAAAAATTTATGTAGAAAAGTTATTAGAGAAGGACTGAGCAGGGAAAGGCGGAGAGGAACAGAAGGAGAAAGTGGGAGGAAGGAGGAAGAGGAGATACAGAATGGAGGGAAAGGAAGATGGGGAGGAGAGAAAAAGGAGTAGGTCAGAGGAGGGAGGCAGAGAGAGAGGAGAAGGGGAAGAAGATATCATTCTGTGGTCTATATTCAAGTCAGAACACTTTATTTAAAAAGAAAACTGACTCACCAATGCAATTGCCATTGGACAGAGAATTGAGCAATGAGTTTTGTTCACACTGAAATGAAAACAAATATAAAGAATAAGAACATTTCAAAAATTTATTTCTTTCCCTGAAAAAAAGTATATCATTCTTTTCTCCATAAGTAACAAAACACTAGTCTTCAATATGTATTTTCCATAGTCTGTTTATTTCAGAATGATAAATACAACAAACTGAAATAATAAAATGATAATTAGCTCTAAGTATAAGTTTGTCCAGTAGATAATTTATGTTATCAACTCAGACTATCTTGTTTACAATAGTTTATGCAAGACTAAGTTTGTTTTTATTTTGACCAGGAATTAAATATTTTTGTGTGCTTTCATATAGCATATCCAATCAGAAGTAACCTCATTAACACAGCAGTCTTTGAGAGAGAGTCACTAACCATATGTTTCATATTATACAAAAGTTAACTGTTCATCAGAAGATCCATGGACATGTCTGAGAAACATTCCTGGTTTATGGAAATTCTAAAGAAATAAAATGACTCTATTTTACAATTAAACTTAACATTGATTATAAATGATGCCCTAAAGGGATAGCATGCTAGCCACTTCTCAAAAAAATGTATTACTAATTATTGCTATTACCATTAATGGTGACAATGGATATTTCTTGAGTATTTACTATATTCCAAGGACTTTACATTAATCATTTAAACTTACTAATCTCATTTTTATAAAAAATTGAAAATGTTTTAAATTTTGGAAAGTTTAAGAATAACTTGACCAAAGTGACAAAGCTAAACCTGAGCTCATGCCTTTACACCCTGAACCCCATGCTACAAACTGCTGAATTATGCTCTCTCCCATGAAATCAGTTTGCGTCTCACAGTCTGACTACAGAAGATCACATGATTTCCCTTCTAGAAACTCAGTGGTGTAGCTTATATATTTTAAGTCTGGTTCAGACAGGTATGAAATTCCCACCAGGTTATTTTACGTTATGGGGCTGGTGATGATTAAGTTAGCCCAGTGGTCAACAGAGCCAAATATCAACAGTACTTCTTCAAAATAGACTCGCCCAGGCCGAAAACTGACTTCTGCGCATGGGCCACGAAGTTTCAATCGCACTGTATGTACACGCCGCACGTGGTATTTTGTGGAAGAGCCACACTCAAGGGGCCAAAGAGCCGCATGTGGCTCACGAGCCGCAGTTTTCTGACCACTGAGTTAGCCCAATAAAAGACATTTATGAATGTACGTTTCCTTTTATAGGTCTTAACAGTACCCTGTCTGAAATCTTCCATGTCAAAATATTCTGAATAATTTATGTAAATACTCCAACCACCAAGAGGCAAATAGTGACTCCACACTCCTGAAGGATAGACTGCACTTAGACTTGGTTCCAAAGGGGACAGTATGGCAATGGCAGAAATAGAGTATAGCTTTAGAGTGGAGAAGCCTGACAAATACTACCTCACCCAGGTGTCAAGGTCATCAACATCAATATTATAACTCATGTTGGTAGTCTGTACCCTTGATATAATGTAATAAAAATGGCATTTCACCTCCATAGTTTTCTTTCCCAAACTTATATTCCCAGTCTTACAGTCAGAAGAATACCAGATAAATCCAATAGAGGGAAATTCTACAAAACACCTGACCAGTACTACTCAAAACCATCAAAGTCATCAAAAAAAAGAGTCTATGAAACTGTCACATTCAAGAGGAACCAAAGGAGACAGGACAACTAAATGTAATGTGATATTCTGGATGGAATCCTGGAACAGAAAAAAAGTACATTAGGTAAAACTAATAAAACCTGAATAAAGCATGGACTTTAATAATAATAATGTATCCATATTGGTTCCTTGGTTGCAACAAATATGCCACACTAATGAAAGATAGAGGAAATTGTGTGGTGTAGGGTACATAGAAACTATACTAATTTAAGTGATTTTTTTTAATGATTCTTCTCAAGATTATAGTACCTAGTATGCATGTCCATTAGATATATTCTGAATGAAAGTACATATGTTAATAAATGAATGAATAAACAAATAACAAGTGAGAGATTACCCTAGAGCTAACTGTAAAAACCAAATAAAAATCATAATACAATATAATGTTTTGCTGAAGTAGAGGTCTCTGTACACTTTTATAATGTATTATATTGATGTGATACATTTTTTAGTATGGTCATATAAGGTTATCATGACATTATCATAATGAAACAGTTGATCCTACCTTGTTGGTATCATCAAATGGCTGGTTGCTGGCATGTTCTTTTTGGATTATATTCATTAGATCAGCATGAAACTTCTTTGCATTCAGAAAAACCAGTGGGTTGTTTATTGAGATAATTTTCACCTGCTGCCGGGTTTCCTTTTTGGAGAAGAAATGGATGAGATTCAGAGTCCTGAATACTATAAAAAAGGGTAACTTTATCCAATGAATCTCAGTCTTACAAGGCCAAATGTCACTCAGCCATGGAAGTAATCCCTTAGCTAACATTTTCATTATTAAAATGTATTTGGAGAACTTAATAGATTAACATGTTTCTTAGGGAGAATATGTGCATTCTCTTTACCAACAAACAAGAAGAACCATGAGATGAGTCTGAAGCATTTTAGAAAATGACTCTTATCCTTACCTACTGGGTTTGGGGGATGCAACAGCCTAGAATATCCAAAGAGTGCCAGGAAGAGTTATCCTTCCAAAGGGTCTTCTCTACTCAGTCTCAAAATCAAAACTTCATTTACTTAACCATGAGTATTTTAAAAACAAAATGGGTCCTAAAGGCTCAAACTGGCAGTCATCTACCTCATCATGACATAGCTTTCCTTTGGCTGGCATATTACCCTGCGAGTGCCTGGTAGTCCTAGTTGAGAGAAGGAAACCTAGAGGTGACATCAGGAATCTAGGCCCTGGATTGCCAGGCTGTAGGCAAGGCACACAGAAAAAGAGAAGGACAAGGTTCAATATGAAAAGTATCTGCTGTGGCATTTGCCCAGGTCTCCCTGGCAGCAAGTGATGGGTATGCAGCTAAAACTGTCTTCTCCATGACCTTTGGGTCGGGGGTCGGACCTAGAAATTGAGAAGATGGTATTTTCTATGAAATGGTAACTCCTTACCAATTAAATAAAGCATTACTCCTCCCTGCTTTAGTGTTTACATAGAAGAGACACAGAAAATAGTGAAGAATCCGTGCAGAGAAAGACAAGTAAGAGAAAATATTAAGTATGTGAAGTTGGATAATTCACTTAACCTTTCTCAGTTTCCTCATATTAATAATTGGGTAAATATTTAAACTAGATTACCTCAGAAAGTTCCTTTAACTGTACAACTAATTATACTCTAGAAAGTGAAGAGATTTGCTACAAATAACTCAATAAAAATAAAAAGCCTTAAGTTACCAAACCAACTTCTAATCAAGGGTAAATTTCTTACAAACCAAAAATAAAACAATTCTTGAGTCTGTCATATTTAGTTATCACAAACCTCCACATGGTGTGATTAGATCTACCCACTAATCATACCACATGATTGTACTAACGTGTTGTTTTACATTAACATTTTTAAAAGACAGGTATTTGTTAAAGAATAAAGATTCAAGTTGTACCAGAAAATAGATTCTCAATGTGATTGAATTTATTGAGTGGGAAGAGATGTCCCAAATTGAGAATGAGTGTTTCATATAAAACAGTATGGAAGAACACATGAATGAATGGAAGGAATGACTAACTGCCTCCAAGCTAACATTGTTAGCTTAATCCTGGCCTGGTAGCTCAGTTAGTAAGAGCAACATCCTGTTATATCAAGGGTGCAGGAAGAGTCCTGATCAGGGCACATACAAGAATCAACCAATGAATCTACAATTAAGTGGAACAACAAATCTGTTCCTCTCCCTTACCCTTTCCCCCTCCCCCTCTTTCTCTCTCCTTTTCCCTCCTTCTCTCTCCCTTTCCTCACTTCTCCTCTCTCCAAAATCAATCAATAAAAAATATGTATATTTGTTAAAAACTTAAAATTCTATTCAAGAATTTTAAGTTTCGAATTTCAATTCTGTTTCAAAGTTAAGAATGCCAAGGCTAATATATATAACTATGTGTGGGGTAGATACATAGAGGATCTTGGAGGCCCAAGAGTCCATCTGTACAAATTCCTATGTAAAATGTAAAAGGAAAAAATAATAAAGAGATAGGAAAGAAAAGAAAGGCAGCATTGGTGGGAAGGTTGATACTGGGACACTCTCGAAGGCTGTGAACTCCAGTAGTTCTCTGAGAAGCAAATCTCTTCGTCGTTATTGAAAACAGGCCATTCCCCGGGGTGCCCCTGAAGGACTCCTGGTGCTACTTCTCACCCCCAGTCTACTCAGAAATACCCTGACAGTGACCCTGCTGGAGGAAGGCCAGTTCTCTCTGTTCTGAGGGTAACCATGAGGTACTGGAACAAGAAAATGTAAAAAATAAAGAAGAAAAGGTTAACCAAACATTTACAAAACAGGTTCAAAGGGAGGCCAATTTGCAAAAAGTTCAAGGCAACATTTCTTTTTTCTCACTTTACAACTTGTTTTGGCCATCCCTCAGAATAAAAAAACTAAAACAAAAACACAATTGACCTGACAGTGCAAAACAAATAACTTGTTTTTTAAGTGTGCACTGTGCAAGAAACTAATTCTATTGGCATTCCATAATCATTAGAATAAATTACTATCTGCTAATAATACAATCTCATTGTGTGTGTGTTAAAAAAAAGTAACAAGATCTGACTTCACCTTATTGCCTTTCCTATTCCCTATATTCCCTCATCATTTAATTTGGAATGGCCTATTGGTTTAGTTGGACTGTTTCATGGAACTGAGCAATGGAAAAGAGGTTTCCAAAATGCCTGAATTAATCTGAACTATGATTCTGCTGTGGGCTGTAGTTCTATTGTCTTATATGAATGCTAATATAAATTTTTTGTTGCAGTTCTATTAATGTGCTGCTTGTCGACTGCCATATATATATAGTAATCACATATATACAATTTAAAGTTTAAACTAATTAAAATAAAGTTATAATGTTTTCAATGACATAATTTATCTGTTTTAATGATATTTTAAAGCTATCTTAATCACAAAAAATTGTTAATAATTGCACAAAGTAGAAAAAAACTAAACTTACACCATCCATTTCTGTTTTCATTTTAAATTCCATTTCATTCATGTTTTTTATATTCAGTGTCTTTGCTCTAGAATTAAGGCAGATGGAAAACAAAATGTTATTTCCTAATTACTGCATTAACCATGAAGAAGTAAAAATGATGTTTTAACAATAGGAATATACCTAAAATAGTTTAGATCCTCTAACTCATTTGTTAATAAGACACTGGTAAATCTGTAGTTTTCTAAAGTCCTCAGGAATAACAACATTATTCATATGTAGATAAAACCTTTTTCTTTTTGTCTCCAATAGAAAATAAGACATGAATTGTAGCACTATATAGCCCACAGAAATAAAAGTAACTGGTAACACCATATACTTTGCTGCTGTGTCATAATAAACAGAACATTTAAATAAGATCTTACCTTGGGAAGCGACCAATCACCATAGCTATGGTACAAACAACACCAAACAGTAGCCCCACATTGGCAGCAAAACATATTGTAAATATATATGTACTGACCCATATGCCCTGAAAGAGAAGCAAAGAGAAAAGATGTGGGTTCTTTGACATTCTCATAATTGATAAACTCCTCACAATTTTATTCTACAATATTCCAGTAACCACATCCCTTAGGAAGAATATATTATTTAGTAAGATGTCATAAACAGAAGTCCAGGAATACAGAAACAAATCCTGGCCCCATCACACTCTCAGGAGCAGTGGTGGGTAAAAGGCATATGCTTTTACTTCTACCCACCGCCAATACTTAATTCAATCGCCAAAAAACGCTTTATTTAAGATCTGTAAATTATTGGTTGATGTGTGCGGTTTAAAAGCATGCCATATTGTTTGGTCATTCCCAACACTATTCTGCTTTCTAGGATTGCTATAAAAAGAACTAATTTATTTTTCCACATGATTCAAACCCTAATGTTAAAATGACTGAATCTAACATCATGATCAAAGGCACTTTTAGATCAACTACTCCAATGATCATTATAATTTTATTTGCAAGGGGCCACTTTTTGTGAAATTGTGAAAGCTAAAGCATCAGGGCCAATTTGGCTCTTGAATAAGCATGTTAAACATTTATGTTAGTAAAAGCCACACTTTTCCACTGTTTAGTATAATTTAATCTCTTCCTGGCAATATCCTATTAAAATAATGATCCTCTCAATGTAACCCATTTAAAACCCAACTCATGAGACTTTTTGTATTTAGAATGAATATGGTCACTACTAAGATTTTCACCTTATATTAATGTGGTGTACATAACTTAGCAATTAATGATTTCTCATACATGTTAAACTTGTCATATTTTTATTAGTGTGTACTTCATGAACTTCATTGGCAAAATTAATCCATAACAGAAATTAAGAATCCTCAATCCACTCAAGTTAGTTAGCATGTCTTTAAAAGTTCTCAAACAACACATCAATCAAAATTTGACAAAATCCCAGGCCTATTTCTTATAAAGACATTTCACATTTAAATGCATTTATTGGGATTTTAAAAGAAATTACTGGTAGTTTGTAAAGTGTACAAGTCTCAAATGTCTAAAACTACTTTCTGCAAATGAAACTATTAAAATTTATTTTTTTACATGTGTTTAAGTCAAAGATGAAAATGTAGGTTAAATTTCTACTAACCCAATCGATTTTATCCACATTCCAATATTTTTTTAAATCCCGAAACTGTATGAGCATTCCTTTCAGTCCCACGACAATAATACTTGCAAGAACACACTACAAATAAGAAATAGGTTAATGAAAAGGCAAGATAAATATTTTAATCAAAACTTAAAAGAACCAAAGTATTTTAATTTCTTTCTTTGTTAGAGTACTTACTAGAAAAAAAAGCAATCATCATTTAGAAGACTAATGTAGCATTCATTTTGTTTAGAACTAACCAATTATTGTACCTCAGGAATATAATATCAATTCTAGAAAATAACAGGGTAAAACATGCCATTCTAAAAAATTAGAAAGAACGAAAAAGAAAAGTAATGAATGATAAGGGTAAATGTTATCATGCTGGTTGTCCTCAACTTTATAATAATTATTCACCACCATGAGTTTGAAAATTGTTTGTTGCAAAATTAAATACATCATGTATTTCTTAAACTTTTTATTTATTGATTTGAGAAAGAGAAACATAGATTTATTGTTTCATTTATTTATGCATTGATTGATTGATTCTGGTATGAGACCTGACTGGGGATTAAACCCGCAAACCTTGGCATATTGGGATGATGCTCTAACCAACTGAGTTCCCCAGGTAGCTATGTATTTCTTTATAATTGCTTTGGGTCTCAGTTTACCTGATTTCACTGAAAGACATAACTCTGTTGAAGTGTGAACTTGATTATTGAAAGATCCTCCAGTGGAAACTATATAATCTCACTATCCGAATGAGGACAAGGGAGGTCTAACATGCCTCTGGTTCTCTGAAGACCAGAATCTTACTTGCATAACTTTGGTACCTCAGGCTTATGAAAGGCAAGATGAACCACTGGGACTAGGATTCTGAGTCCCTTTGTTTTTTTCTGTTTGTTTTGTTTCTAGATATATTTTTATTGATTTCGGAGAGGGAGAGAGAGGGAGAGAGCGATAGAGACATCATTGATGAGAGAGAATCATTGATCGGCTACCTCCTGCACGCCCCACACTGGGGATCGAGCCTGTAACCCGGGCATGTGCCCTTGACTGGAATTGAACCTGAGACCCTTCAGTCAGCAGGCTGACGCTCTATCCACTGAGCCAAACCAGCTAGGGCAGTCATTTAAGAAATTTTAATAAGCAATGCTTCTCATTAAAAGTAAACTTAAAAAGCAGATTATGGGAGAGTACTACTGTACCATTGGCAGCCAGTAAAGCAAAGGTCCTATTGCATAAATGACTGTCAGGACGAAAATGCAAGATATGAGACAAGCCACCTGTAAAATACAAGACAGATAAAAAAGAAAACCTTGAACTTTCTAATAATTCCAAAGTAATAAAATTCTTAGTTCATCTTGATTAGGAAAAACAATATGCTGGCACATGATTATTAAATTACGTAGACTATTATCTCTATTTTGCAGCTGAAGGAACCCGAATGTGACATCTGACAAACTGGTGCAATCTAATTAAGTCAGTGATGACAGAAAACAATTCTATGAAAAAAAAAAAAAGACTTTTAGTACACATTACAACAATGGCTTTTTTGTTTAATAGTTAAAACATTTCAATTAAAGGTCCTTTAGCCTGTTTGGTTTAACTCCCCTCCTCACTTCCCAGGGAGTTATCTGGGTAATATTTGAACATGCAGCTGAAGGTTTTTCTGTGCTGCTGATAAATTTTCACTGAAGCATTTACTCTCTTCTCTGGAGTTCTTTGTTAGAAAGGGCTCCAGTATGAAGCAGTTATATAGGATTATGGTAGAAGTCTCTGCAATAAAACTGATGCATTTTATTAATCCTGAAAAGCTACCAGTTTCATCTTCCAATCAATTCAACCTGCTGACAAAAGGAAGTTCAAATAACTTGACTCTTAGCTATGCTCCACCTAATGGAGAACCTGATTTCACATAAGCAAATGTTCATGACTTAATAGAAACTTTTGGCCAAACTGGCAGCCTAACAGAAAAAAGGGGGCTCTCACAGGACCACAGAGATGCCCAAAATACCATTATGGAAAAATCACAGGGAATCAGGTTCTGTTAGAATGGCTAACATTAAAAATAAATATATAAATAATCAAATAGTCAATCAATATTAAGGGCTGGTGAGGATTCAGAACAACTGGTGTTCTCAGACATTGCTGAAAAAACAGTTTGGCAGTTGCTTATGAAGTTACACATACACTTACCGTATATCCCAGAACTGTTTAACAGAGGTAAAAATACACGCTCATGCAAATACCTATATGTAAATACTTATAAAATCTTTATTAACAAACACCAAAAACTGTAAATAACTGAAATGTCCAACAACTGGTAACTAGATAAACAAGTTGTGGTATATCCGTATAATAAAATACTACTCAGCAATAGAAAAGAACAGACTATTGATATATGCAACATCCTCGATAAAACTCAAAATAATTAAACTAAGGAAAAGAAGCTAGTCACAAGTTCCTTCCTTATTAGCAGAACTTATCTCCAGTACTCCCCAGCATAGAAAGAGGAAAGAAATCTTTCTGTGGGAAATAAGTCATTAGGTAATAAAAAATTGCCCATAAAAAAAGTTATAACAAACTGTCACTAAACTAATCATTTAGGAGTAATCGCTGATTTTACATTACAAAAATTCTTTAAAGATATATATATATTTAAACCTATTTTTATTGATTTCAGAGAGGGAGAGGGAGCAAGAGATGGAAACATCAATGATGAGAGAGAATCATCAATCTGCTGCTTCCTGCACACCCCCTCCCTCCTAGGGATTGAGCCCAAAACTCAGGCATGTGCCCTGACTGGGAATCGAACCGTGATCTTCTGCTTCATAGGTCAATGCTCAACCATTGAGCTACACAGGCTGGGCTTTGATAAAAATGTTAAACACAAATCTATGCTGTCATTGCACTAAATCAGAGAGAGCTAGGTGTCAAGAGCAAATCACAGAAATTATTCAGATACCTTAATAAGTGACTCATTATATCACTGCTTATATGGAAAAAAAAAAAGGACAACTGCCAAGGTTTATTTCACAATAAAAGACAATGGCATGCACCCCTTTGATGGGATCTTCACTCATACACTTATAATGTATCTGAAAATAAAACCCTTATTCTTAATTGCAGATATCAACTTAGGGAAGGTAGTCTACACTCTGTGAAAGGCTCTGAGGCCCAGGGAAACAAGGAGATTTGACTAAAGTCATAAAACTAAGGAGTTAGAAGGTATATGGACCATGAACTAAATTGGGATCCATCAAGCTAAATATATTTTAAGGTTCCAAAAATATCTTATAGTATAGTAAAGATGATATAGAAAATACAACTTAACTAAATAATCCTATTTCAAAACAGTGAACTATAACTACCTTTGGGCTTTTCTCTAAATAATATTTAACTTATCTTTTATTGACATGATGCTTTGTATGCACATCAACAATAACATTCTTACTAAACTAAAATTCCAGTCCTATTGTTAAAATAACTCGAGTTAAAAGGGTCTTAATTACAAAAGTGGCACATGATGGGTGAAACACACGATTTGCTTCCCTTACATGGGAAGTCATAAAATAAAATAGGTCAGATAAACAAATGGCGAATGTCAGCTTCTCTGCTGCACTCGCCTCATCACTGTGGGTGCCCGAGGATAAAAGACAAGTGCATCTAATTGGACAAGAAATTTTTATCAGTTCTGCCTCATGTGTTTCCTCCTCAGGCATGAAAATCAATAATATAATAGTTTCTGCCCTCAATGTTCTCAAAATACTGCATCCGTTGTCTCCATAAGTAAGAGATCCAGATGCTAAACTTTAGATTTTTTAAAAAAAATTGTGAGATCATGCAGTCCAAGCCATCACTTCAGAAATGGACAACTCAGTAAATGCAAAAAAAAAAAAAAAAAAGTTAGGTTAAGATGAGATATTTTCAGTGCTAGAATAGACTTCTCTAACTTCAAGATTCTGTAATAATCCCATTGAGTTATATTTTCAAGTTTTAGCACCTTTTTGAGTACCCTTTAATTTGCACATAAAGTGCTGTTACCTTATACATCTCTGATCAACTGAAAAAAAAAAATTAAAAGCAAGTTGCAGCCAGAACAAGAAAGATAAACTTGTATTTTTTTTTAAGCTCAGGAAAAAAACCAAACACCTAAGTACCCCCTTACTTATATATTTTAACTAGTAAAATGTTCACACCCTTAATTACCCATAGGACAAACATCTTTTAGGTATTTTACTTTCCTTCAACTCTTTACCATTGTATACTTAGGAATAGAGTGAAGAAATGTAAATGAAATCATGATAGTCAAGCTGCTAAATTACTAAAATCAAGCAGGTTGACGGATGAGAAAATGATTCTATTATTTTTTTAAAACAAAATTCACATTTTATTTACATTGAAATAAACTATACAAAATTGACTTTCTGCACCAAAAGTAGCAGGAATATTTTCTGTGTTATTCCTAGATGACTACAAAACACATTTTTGTAGGTCTCCCAGGTTTTAATTATAAATCAAGATGAGGCAGTAGGTATAGTCATGGAAAAAGACAGAATGAAACAGGCAAATCTGTTGTCAGTATCCACGGCCTCGGATCCTGTCTTGACTGTGAAACAGTGTTTGCCATAAACCTGCTAAAAAGCTTATGAAGATACAGGTTAAACAAAGGAATGTAAACAGCAACATCCAGATGTGAAACAATAACAGGTTCTTCCATTCAATCTTTAACTGTAACTTGTTTCTTTAAGGTCACTAACTAAAGACAAAATCTACACTGAAATCCTTGTTTGGAAAGCTCACCTGTTTCTTTTACTGTCTGGTAAAGCCCTTAACTGTCCATTATAGATTTTTAATAGCATACTTAAAACTCCTGCTGGTCTTCACCCATCTTTCTCCTGCCACTTGCTCCCCAAGGTAAAAAACACACCCTTTCAAATGTATTCTTCTGATCACCCCCCAGAAAAGACTTACTATAAGGGCAGGCTCCTAAAAATGTTCAACCTGTCACATGAAATATTTTATAAATCCTTATTCAATTCCAATGTGAATTGTTTTAATAATGGTGAGCAGATAATATGAGTTTCTATATTAACACATACATGCATTTTCTTACATACATGCATTTTCTTGTATAGTACTGGAGTAAATCTATCTGGGTTAAAATCCCAGCTCTGCCGACTCATTAGCTCTGTGACCTGGGTAATTGACTTTAACCTTCTTTTCTTCAATTTTAGCATGTGGAAATTGAGAATAATAATTATACTTCCTTCAAAGTTGCCTATAAAGGGTTAAATGCATTCATTTACATGGAAAGTATGATATGCAATGCCTGGCACATAAATCAATATATGTTTCCACCAACACTGCTGCTCTGAATAATCATCACAGATTATCTTCATTGTCATCACTGTCATCTTACCAGTATATAGCATAATACTTGGTATAGAGGAGGCACTCAAGTGTTGAGTTGACTTGAGTTCCTAAAAATATATCATAATTATTTCTTTAACCTCAAATGTGCACAAACATCTTATTACTTATTTAAACACTTGCACATCTATTCATACAAGAATCTCAATGTTAATGACTAATCCTATATAATAAAACCCTAATATGCAAATTGACTGAACAGAGGAACGACCAGTTGCTATGATGCACACTGACCACCAGGGGGCAGACGCTCAATAAAGGAGCCGGGCTCAGCAGTGGTGGTGGGAGCCTCTTCCGCCTTTGCTGCAGGCAGGCGGTAAGGAGTGAGGGGTCCTGGACTGAGAGAGGGATCCTGGACTGCGAGAAGGCGCAGGCTGGGTTGGAAATTTCATGCACAGGGCCTCTAGTTTTTTATATAATTGATTTAAATAAATTATAATTCATCTCATTTAAAGAAAGTGAACAAAAATGGAAATTTTTCAAATTGATTAGCTTAGCAAAAACAGAAAAACAGTAGTGAGAGCTCTGGCTCAAAGGCTGCCAACAGTAAAGCTGCTATTGGTACAGTATTTTTTTAGTCAGCTCCCTGAGTCATTGGCTTTTGGAAGGAACATTTACAAGAAAGAGAGGAGAAACAGACTTTCCTGAAAGTAGTTAGGAAAAAATGAAGAAGTAAAACTATTTCCTACACTTTTTTAAAAATATATTTTTATTTTTGTTGATTTCAGAGAGGAAGAGACAGGGAGAGAGAGATAGAAACATCAATGATGAGAGAGAATCATTAATCGACTGCCTCCTGCATGCCCTGGTGAGCCCACAACAACGAAGAATCGAACCATGATCTTCTGATTCATAGGTCGATGCTCAACCACTGAGCCACGCCAGCCAGACTATCTTCTGTGCTTTGGATAGAAGCCCGCTCTTCAGCACTCTTGCCCAGAGGGAGAGTAAAGGCCAGGGAGTTTCCTGCCAGACAATGAAGTTACCTGTGTCTTTGCTCCTGTGCTGTACAGGCCAGTGGTCCTTCCCATGGCGGCAGCACTTGGTATGCAGAAGAAAAATGAAGAAACCACATTGCTGAGGCCGTGAGCCAAAAATTCCTAGAAGATTGATAATATGGGAATACATCACTTCTTAATAACAATCAACTTTTAGAGACCACAGGCACAACCTATCAAACGATGTCTTGTTTATATTCCATTTCTGTTCTCTCCAATGGTTGCATTTAACCATTGCAAAAAAAAAAAGTGGACATTTACTGAGTGATTAAATGAGCAAGAAACCATTGCAAGTACTTTAATCATTTAATCCTCATAACAACCTTATGGGAAAATACAAGATATTTATTGTTTCTGTTGCCAGTTTCTCCCCCATCTTTTAAATCGCTATAATCAAGGCTGTAACACTGACAGCAGCCTCATATATCTCATGTTTACTGTGTTTCTTGATTATATATTTTATTTGGCTTGGTTAAAGCTCATGTTGTTTTGTACAGTAACATGCTGCACAGGTTTGTAATCTAGGAGCAATAGGCTATACCATATATGTAGGTGTGTAGTAGGTGATACCATCTAGGTTTGCATAAGAGAACTCTGATGTTTAAAAAAAGACAAAATACTCTAATGACACATTTTTCAATATGTATCCCCATCAATCAGCATCACGTGACAATATTCTGACTCCTTCCCTTTTTCCCAGATGGTTCCCAACCTAGAATCGGTCCATTTCTCATCTCCTCCATTGCTACATCCTGGTACACACTGTCTAATTTTACCTGGATTCTTGTACAAACCTCCTGATGTTTTCTTTCTGCCTTTCCTGTTACCAGTAACCTACAGAGACCAGTATCCCTGCCCTTACAGAACTGACATCCTTGTGAGGGAATGCGGACAACAAACAAGATGAATATGTCAAGTACAGCACAGGAGGGAGTGGAAAGTCTGGAGTTTAGGATTTTATCTTACCCGGAAGGCTTCTCTGAGAAGCGAGCATTTAAATAAGGGAGGCATGCAAATATGCAGGGGAACAGCTTCTGGAAAAGGGAGGAGCAAGTGCAAATGTCCTGAGCCAGAACCATCAGCGGTGGGTTCAATGAAAAGCAGGCAACAAACAGAGTAAAAGAAGAAAGAAAAAAGGGGTGTATAGAGAAACAAAGGGATGTAGAGCTTTGTAAACCTTGGTGAAGAGGTTTTTAATCTGAATACAAGGGTAAAGCCCTGGTAGGCTCTGAGTTGAGAAAAGATAGGGTCTGTGTTGTACACTACTGTGTCCCTTATTCTTAGTGCCTGGTACAGTAGGATTTGATACACATCAGTTGAATGAATAAATCTTCTTTTATACAGATGACAAAACTGGGGCGCAAAAATAATGAAGGGCACCGGTGTCAGAGTGAGATTAGACATAGGTGACTTGACATTTGTAACCAGTTTTCCACAGCTATCTCTGCTGACCTGTAGGAATGGGGGGCCACAGGGCTTAAACCAAGACGCTGGGAGAAATCAATTTTGAAATGTGATCAACATGATCTTCATTGTTTGGCCTTCCAAAAGTAGATGCTCACGTCCTTTAGGTTTCTACTAAGAAGAGTAATACTAGTGTTTTCTGTACTTTAAAAACCATCATTTTTGAAAGATAAATATCACATGATCTTACTCATTTGTGGAATACAATGAACAACATAAACTGATGAACAAAAACAGATCCAGAGACAGAGAAGCATCAATCAGACTGTCAAACCTCAGAGGGAAGGTAGGAGAGAGGGGGGGTATGGGGGAGAGATCAACCAAAGGACTTGTATGCATGCATGTAAGCATAACCAATGGTCACATACACCAGGGGAGTGAGGGCATGAGGGGGGGGCGGTAAAGGGGGGATAAGGACACATATGTAATATCTTAATCAATAAAGAAAAAAATTAAAAATTAAAAAAGTAAGTACTCAATGGTAATATATTTAGATTCTCACCTAAAAGCAAATTAAAAAGAAAATCAAGATGCCCCTCTCTCTCAAAATAAGATAAAATTATAAACCAACCCATAAAGGACAAATATTCAGCTATAACTGATTTAGAGATTCTCTTTTGTTTTTGGCCAATCTATTCTTTCTGTAGAGGTAGGAAAGTTATATTTTTCATAGGGTCAACATTTTCAGGATCTGGGAGTTCCAAGCATGATGATACAATAGCTACGGAGAAGGGCTGGGGCATACGCCACCTGGTTGTCATCCACTGAATATTTGAATTTTTTGGCAGATTCTTGAGCAAGAGCCAGGGAGGCTGCATAGCCCACAAGTGCTACTCCAAAAGCTTCTTTGATTACTGCAGAGAGGACATTCATGGAGGGAGGTCTAGGCAAAGGAATTCTGTGGAAAGAAATACATAATGAAGTCATCAACTTTCATGTAATTTCTGTAACAACTTGCAATGAATTCCACTATGGTGGTGACTCTGAAGTTTACATAGAATAAGTAAGATGCCCATGAGAAAGCCAGGCAGCCTTGCCCTTAGAAACCCTTTGTTTTCAACATTATTTAACAGAAAAGCAAAATCACAAGGAACACCACAGGGTCAACACCACACCACTGCCATCTGCACCCAAGTTCACCGCGGGAACTGACTTGATGAAAATGTTCTATATCAGAACAAAAGCATATTTGGAGCATTCTTTGATTTGAACTTTCTCAAATATTTATTTGGCTGGCATTAGAGACTGCATTACCTGCCTTGAACACTATAGATCTGTATGAGGACACTAGTTTACTGCGAGCTATAATTTCCTGAGCTAATCCTTAAATTTGCCATTGAGTTCATCAGCTTAATTATGTTTCTAACTCAGTCTTTTCACAGCACACGTAACTATGCATCACATGTGTCAAGGAAAATATGCATAACGGCTACATCTATCCTCTGTTGCAAAATATGGGACCACAGTTAACTGTATTTCAGATTTAAAGAATTATTTAAAATATTTATTTCAATGAATACCTGACCATTGTCTTATTATCTTTTGAAAATCACTTGCACCAAATAAAGTCTCATCATTTATTTATGCCTGATGATGCTTTGGGATGGATAGACTATATATTCATCCATCCCTCTGGGGAAAAAGAAGAAGAAACAGGGAAGGCAATACATGTTCATTTAATATCTAGTAAATAAGTAGATTGCTCAGCCCTTTCATATTAACTGTATGGAGACGGCGGCTAGGGAATGTATCTAAATCACAGAGTGAATGGTAGAGCTGATCTCAGCTCTGTCTAATTTCAATGCCCCACTCTTGTTGATTCCTTAAGAGGCTAGGTCTGGAAAGTTCACCCAAAATAAGGGAGAATTAGTGTGGATGGAGGATAGGCATACATTTTTTTACCTACTTGCTAAAGTTTACCCCCAAAACAAATGTACTTGTATCACTATAGGCTCTAAAATATATGCTATACAAAAGTACTACCATTTGAAAGTATTAGAACTTCTGTTTCATGGAAATTGAGCTTGCCTAATTATTAATACCAATAAACTGACCTAGAAAGAAACAATAAACTGACTTTTAAAAAATATATACATTTTTATTGATTTCAGAGAGGAATGGAGAGGGAGAGAGAGATAGAAACATCAATGATGCGAGAGAATCACTGATCAGCTGCCTCCTGCACACCCCCTACTGGGGATCAAGCCTGCAACCCAGGCATGTGCCCTTGACTGAAATCAAACCCAGGACCTTTCGGTCCACAGGTTGATGCTCTATCCCCTGAGACCAACCAGCTAGGGCTAAACTGACTTTTGAAGGTGGAAAAGTGGATAACTTTTTATAAAAACCAAATTGACCCAGATAATCACCATTAACCTTTAACTGCATAAAGGCTAAACACAGAATTTTTAAAATTATCTTTTTAATCTCTAAATGTTTTCTATTCTCCCTCCATTTTAATGTAGTTAGAAACCAAAATTTGGGAGTGAAAGATAAAATTAGAGAGAACTCAATAACTAACTTTGCCCCAAATTTATAAATATTGGTATGTATACAGCTCCTTAAAAGGAAATGAGCCCTAAGATACATTCTCTTCCTGAAGATGCCTTTGTTTCTTTCAGGCTATACTTGGAACAACCTTTTGCCCTTTCAGGGTGAACAGCTCTTCTTGTTAACCTTCCTCTTAGTGTTCAGAGAAAAGCTTTCAGACAGAAAGGAAGCCACGCCCTCTTTTCCACTCCACTCTCTCCCTTGCCATTATACAATACCCTGGCCTATGGGTTTGCTATTTCAGGTAATGCTTGTGTACTTTTACTGTGTTTTAAGTGAAATAAAAGTAGTCATAAGAATGTTTAAGTGAAATGGGGAAGACTAAATCCCAGAATATGACTCTATTTTAGAAATGCAATGCCCTCATTTAAAAAATAGCAACTGCCCAACTGGCATGGCTCAGTAGTTGAGCGCTAACCTATGAACCAGAAGATCCTGGTTCGATTCCCGGTTAGGGCACATGCCTGGGTGGTGGGCTTGATCCCCAGTGTGGGGCTCTCTCTTATCGTTGATGTTTCTATCTCTCTCTCACTCACCCTTCCTCTCTGAAATCAATAAAAATATATATTTAATAAAAGAACAAAACAACAATAGATCTCAGAGGGAAGGAGTTGGGAGGCAGGAAGAGATTAACCAAAGACCTAATATGCTTATATGCATAACTCATGGACACAGAAAATAGTGTGGGGAAGGCCTGGGATCGGGCTGCATAAAGAGGGACAGCCGGGGATAGGAAATTGGGGACAACTGTAATACTGTCAACAATAAATTTGAAAAAACAGTTATCAACTTTCCTGGTTACATGCAAACAGTCTAAGACGTTAGTCTTTCTCTACATGTGTATTATTTGTTTTTAACACTTAAGAATAGTAAGTAATTAGAATATTATTCTTTGAAAGAAATAAAATCCATACCACCTACCTCCAGTCTAGTCTCTTCTTCCATAAAAAACAAAGAAACATACAAACAAAAAAGTAAGAGAAAAGACATTACCCTTTTGGAATATGACCAAGTACGTCTAATCCATATGTATTTTCCATATCGGTATAATAACAAGCAAATGATGCAGCAATAACCTGTGTGGTTACATTTGGGAAAAAAAAATTACTAGTAGCCTTTCAAACACCTTTTTAAAAATTAACGTTGAAAGTAAACATTGTTCGTGGGTCCCAGGATTGTCATGAATGATGTAGCAGTTATACAGATTTTTAAAAATTAGGAAATTTTAAAATTCAAAGAATACTTCTGATATTTGAGAGCACTTAATTTACAGTCTCGAAAATTAAATGGCATTATAATAATACTAGAGGCCTGGTGCATGAATTTGTGTACTTGGGGGGGGGCAGTCCCTCAGCCCGGCCTGAGCCCACTCGCAGTCTGGGATCCCTCACTCCTTACTGCCCCCCTGCTTGCTGCTCCTTAATGCTCAGCTGGCTCACTGCTCCTTAGTGCTGCTGCAGAGGGAGGAGAGGCTCCCGCCACCACCACTGCACTAGCCAGCTGTGAGCCTGGCTTTTGGCTGAGTGACGCTCCCCCTGTGGGAGCACACTGAACATCTGCATTGAGCATCTGCCCCCTGGTGGTCAGTGCGCATCATAGTGACCAGTCGTTCTGGTGGTTCTGGCTTTTATTATATAGACTAGGTGCCCAGTGCACAAATTCGCGCACCTTGAAAGGAACTGTGGGCCTCGAGGCTGCAGTAGGCACAGGGGTGGGTCTTGGCCCATCCTCCACACCCCCGCCTGGCCCCTCCTGCCACAGCTCCCAGTCCCCTGTCTGCCAGCAGCCCCACTCTCGCTGCTGCCGCTCCCACGCGCTGACGCCCCCTGGTGGTCAACACACGTCATAGCAACCAGTTGTTCGGTTGTTCCACCCTTTGGTCTATTTGCATATTAGCTTTTTATTATGTAGGATTTTTTTTTAATGTTTTACTTTACTTAAACCCAATTATGTCTAATTTTGAAGAGGAGAAAAACAGACTATAGGAGTGTGTGTGTGTGTGTGTGTGTGTGTGTGTGTGAAGTTACCACAATCCAACCTTAACACTTGTCTCTTGTGACATGAAGGGATGCTTTAGAAAATAGCATGTTTTGAGAAATTGCATTGATATTCCTAATAGAGATTAGTAATCAATAATGTGGACAAAAAGGGGCCACATGCTAACCTGACTAGCTCAGAGAAAGCCTGCGAAGTGGCCTTGCAAACTCAGAAAGCTGAGGTAACCACAAAGGATGGTCTGAAATTTAAACTTTTTTTTTTTTTTAACTAAAAGCAGTTTATGGTAGGTAGTCATGTCCTAGGCTGGTATCTTCCTTGACAAAGGTCAATCTTTACCTTAACTGTACCTCTCAATACTGCCTTTTTGCATCTATGATAACATATCGTTGGAATGTCAAAGTAATTTTCCTTTTATCTGGACCCCTCAAAGAACAGGCATGCTCTGCGGAAATCACAGATCCCTCATTGTCACTGAGTTCATTGTTAACTGTGAACTATCCTATACCCACCTATGTAAAAAAGGTAAGTATGTCTATCCTTTTACTTTTTATCCAATCCCAGAGGTTTCCCCACTTTGCCTTCTCCCACCTCCCTACTCTATCACCAGTGGACTCCATGTGACCCACGGACATCTCCTCTTTTGGTTGTAATGTAAAAAGCAAGGTGAAAACTTTGCAGCCAGTGTCACTCGGGCCTCTCAGCCGAGCACCAGCTCCCAGGAAGCTCCCCCTTTCCATACTCCCTCCTCTCCAGTCTCTAGGTTTCTCTTCAGTGCTCCTTAGATAAAATATGTCCAATCAGCTATGCTTCTCTTGTTTTTCTTCAGGCTGATTGCGCAGTATCTTAGCTATAAATCCCGTCCCTGGCATGAGCAAGGGCACACAGCCTCCTGTTATGCCACAGCCTCTGGCCCCCTCTAGAAATGTCTCCATATTCAAAGCCTTAGGATACATGTTGTTGTACTTCAGTAAAAACAACCAGAATATGAGAAATGCTGTAATAACTAAAAACATGTGTGTGTGTCCTTTTTAAAATCAGTGACTTCAAATGTTTCCTGGTCTTACATGAATGGATAGCCACACAAATGAGACATCTTTATGAGAGGTAGGAGCAGCTGTGAGTTACTGTAGGCAACATGGTGAACCTCAGCAGGTCACCCCAACAGCTGGCAAACATTGTAGGGCAGAATGCTAACTGCAGATGTCACACTTACCAAAACCAAATCGACAGGAAGGACGGCTTTAATTTTCCTTTTAAACTGCTCATTTAACTCTTTCACCACCACAAGCACCACAATGCTCAGCAAGGATAAGAGCAGGGCTTCCAGGCGAACAGACTTGATGTTCTCAAAGACATATGTGTAGATCTACAATGAGGAGAAGAAATACAAAGAAAATATAGGGTCACCTACACTATAACCACCTCTGACTCCAAATGAACTCAGTGATGTTTACCAAGAAATCTTAATGGCTGTAGGACGGGAAGGTGAGGTATAGATGGGTGGTCAGTGCAAAGCTCTAATTCGCTGCTTTGCCCTTGATGCTTGTAGCGAACTCACGGGTTGCTTCTTTCTACATAAGAACACTATGTATGACTTCTCCTTCCCAGCCACTTCAATGAAGAGAGATGCTCAAACTCATCAGTTACATGGAGACTTACTGTTAAGTGCAGTGACAGGATTTCATAGGCTCTGTGAGACCCCCCACTCTTCCTCAAACCCGAGAATCAAATACAAAGGAGTTAAGCACTGGTATTTAAATGATATCAGATATTTGGTTTAGTGTAAAATATTACCATGTTCTCAGTCATTCAATATTTTATTTACCTTTTTATTGTCACATGCTTTATGCCAACCACCGTGCTCAATTCTAGGTCTGCAAAGGTGAACAATTTAGATGAGCCTCAGCATTTATAGAGCTAAATAATCTAGTGAGTACATTACCAATTAAAACAACAAATTAGTTCATTATGGTGCTATAAACATAGAAGGTGCACCTGAAGCATATGTGTCTTAGAGGAGCTGTCCCTAAAGAAGATAAACAGGAATCGGCCAGATGATGGATCAGAGAAGTAATGAGGGGTGTCTCTTTTGCCTAAAATACATAGAATGTGAGAAGACTGTATGCCTTCCATATATTTATATATATGTGTGTGCGTGTGTGTGTGTGTGTGTGTGTGTGTATTCTTTGTTTTTATTTGAGTGTACTTTCCATTTTTATTTATTTTTTTCTTACAGTTTACTTTCAATTTTATTTTGTATTGTCTCAGTGTACAGGTTAAAGTCAAAGAAAGAATCTTAAAAGCAGCAAGAGGAATACAAGATTGGCATGAAATATGCAAAGGGATGAAAAGCAAGGTCCTATAACCTGCTACAGTTTCTATCCCAAGCCACGATTGAACCAAGCTACAGATGAGCTTTCTGTTTCTCTCCCATTCAATTTACGCTGTCCATTTTTCAGGGCATATTAAACATTCCTAAAATTCACAATAGAAATGTCAAAATAACTGGGGAGGAGATGTGGGCTTTCAACAAACCACTATGTATTCTTGACTCAGAAATCCCAGATTCGCTCTCCACATCTAAATCTCATTTGTACATATTTAATTGTGACCTCATCCTCTAGAAAAGAAAAAGTTTCATGGGCTCTGCTTTCCTTCTGACTTTCTAATCCCCTTTTATTAACATTCTTGGTTCCTGCTTTGCAGCCTGCAGGAGTGTTTAAGCGAGAAAAGTGCTTTGCTTATACTGCAGAGATGGGGTTGAGAATGAAACTGTTTTCCAGTTCTGAAACTCCTTGTTTTTAAGGAAGGAGATAAAACTTCCAACAAGGGCAGTCAAATAGGTTGCCAAGCTTGCCTTGTGCTCTTGGTGGTCCGGTCTAATTAGCCTATTATGCTTTTATTATTATAGATAACCCAAGTTTCTTTAAGATGGAAATATCTCAGTATTGTAATGAACCAAATCCTGCTTCGTGAAATACACACCAAAATATATATGAACAAAGACATATGGAAAACTCACGTAAAATAATCCAAGTGGCCTGGATATGTAAGGTATTTTCATTCCCAAGAGATACTTGACTTGTGAAGTCACAACATTTGTGGCAGCCCCAGTTGTCATTGCGCTGATCACAGGCTCCGTGAACAGGAACGTAGCACTGCCCAGCTGTAGGGCAAACATGGCCACCTAAGAGGGCAGAGCACAGGAACTTTCCCACGGTTGCGAGACAGTTTAATATCCAACACATGTTCGCTTCACACAGACAGAGAGAACTAATGGAAAATTGGTTCTACAATTTTAGGTGCTCAATCCCGTGAGTTTTCTTGACAGCATAACCAGGTTCCAGGACTCTCAATGTTATTGGGAACAATCGAAGTGTTTCGATTAAAATGAACATGTTATTTTTTCCTGAATATTTACTTCACTGTGTTTCTCTTTTCTTAATCATACATGTTACCAAGAAACTCTAGAAAATCGGTTGATCTATGGGGCTCTGTGGGGAAAAATCAAATTTGCATGATCATATTTGTAATTATTTTAAAAATCTAAAATGGCACCATGACTGGTGCCTTAATATGGTTGAATCTGGACTGGCAAGACAAAAAAAAAAACAAAACAAAACTATTTTTTTCTTCAATGAAATAGCAGGAAACTCCTTGGGAGCATGTGTTTTGAGTAACCATAGGTGGTGGATGCTAGGAGTAAAAAGGATTAACTACTTTAATTCTTAGAGTAGGACTGAAAGCAAGGGCAGGGACTTAGGCTAAGGTAGGAATCCAGTCAGGAAGACTGAGTTGGTTTTAATGTACAGAACTGTACATCATTGTTTAGAATGGCACTCATGTGACGCCATGCCAGTGCAACTAGCTTTGTCAAATTTATCATCGGCTGAGACACTGGTGCCATTTCAAATCAATCCATTTGCTAAGATGAACCAGGAATTTTTGTAATTTTTATTTTGTCTTTTTGGGGAAAAAACTCTTTCCAATATTTTTTTTTCTAGAGAGGAATTAAGCTTTCCCCTCTTATCTGTGTAGGAAACCAACTATCACTCAAATATTTGAATCCTAAGAACAACCGAAGTGAAAACAACTCAGTTGGTGAGCCAGGGCCCCAAGCCAGAAATGAAAAATACTTTTTAGAAAGTTTGTTCTTAAAAAGTCAAAAACTACTTCTCTGTAACTTCAATATATTAATTCTAACTCATTTACTCAACCAGTACTTATAGAGTAACTATTCTCTATACCAGACCGTATTTTCATAAAGACAGAGCACATCTGTCCCTTATCCATCTAAACAGACACACCCATGAACATGAATAAAAATAAAGCTCCAATTGCCTTTCCTTTGCCACTTCATCCCCACATCTCAGTACCACTTACCTGAATCACACCTCCCAAGAAGGAAACAGATGCAGCGATACCAATCCTTTCCATCTCAAAGTCAGATAAGCCCAGGATGCTTGTGTTACTTTGTTTGGTGAGGTTCTGGCTACTCGAAGGGACAAGCCGTTCCACTGCATTGGCTGATATTAAGGATGTCAAGGCACAAGTGCCTAAAAAGGGGGGGTGGGGAAGGGAATCTCCTATTAGTAACAGACTCAATAAATATTGTTGAAGTCCACCACTGAAGTTGAATCCATACTGTAAAACCAAGTCAATCTATTAAAAACACTCTCCTCTGCACCCCCATTACTCCAACCTTTGTTCCACTCCATGGAATAAATAGAAAATCACCTACTTATACACATATTCCTTCAACATACAACCACACCCATCTACCTGCTATTCCCTTCTAGACCATACACATCCCCATCTCTCGGTAGACCTGCACAGAGAATATCCTCAGTGTAGGGATTAAGATCATGGACTAGACATAAATCTAGCTCTTCCATTTTTTCTCTAATGTGACAAAGCATATTACTGTGAGTCTAAATTGCCTCGTCTGTAAAATGGGAGTCATATAGCTACACTTCAGAGTTGGGGCAATATAAATAAGATGATAAATATAAAGACCCCAGTACACCCATTGGCTAAATATGAGTTCTTTGTATGAACCTGAAGCTCTTTACCTACTATGCTTGCTCTTCTATCTACTTGTGCAAACCCTGTAGTCTTTCAAAGTCTGGCTCCAATCCCATATCCATAAGGATCCATTTCAGAACCTGCAAGCCAGGTTTAATCATTCTTTCTGTGCTTTCATAGGAGAGTAGACCTTTATTACAGTATAACAACATGCTGAGCTCATGAAATGATTAAGTATACCGTTTCTGTGTAATATAATTAAAGTTCAATGGTATTTCCCCAAAATTGTCCTGGTCTCACACAAATGTGGGACCGTTTTCAATGTCTTATTGGGTAGCAAGTACTAAGCCAAACACTGGACATCAATCATCTCATCTAGTTCTTACTATAATCATGTGAATTTTTTTTGCATTTCAATATTAAGAAAGCAGCAGATAAACCTTTAAAACTTTGCCTAAGCTCATGCAGATAACAAACAAAATATAAGACATACACCCAGGACTAACTCTAAAGCCCATGTTTTTAAGCATCTCGTTCTATTACCAGACCTCTATACTTGTGACAGTTCACATTATACTTGGTAATGCGGAGCTAAGTAAGCTAAAAGATATATTAATTAAAGAGCATTAGAGATTATAGCTTAGAAGAAACCTACAAGATCAATTATGTGGAAAACACTTTTCAATATTTAAGTCACTAAATTTTAGAAATTCCTACCTTTATCCCTCAAAGTGCTTATTTTCTACATTTCATTGTAAAATCAGAACATTTGCCTCCCTTTTATGGGCTTTTTACAGCTAACACTGCAAAGAATCTTTAACAATAAACTGGTAATTTAGCAGTAGTTCACAACATGTATCGAGTGGCTAGGCACAGAAAGTGAAATGTCTTAGCTCTAATATTTGCTGAGATTTTCCATAGTAAAGGTAGAAATGTAATCAACAACTAATGATCACTTCTGAGGTCCTTTTCTTCACAAACACGAGAGGCATCATCAGAAAGTATTACCTGTGACAACGTGACGTCCCATTCCAAAGATGGCATAAATGATGGCAGGAAAAAAAGACCCATATAAACCAAACACTGGGTGCACAGATGAGAGAACGGCAAAGGCCAACCCTGTGAAGAAGACCAGCATAATGAAGACCATTTTATAACTCAGAATGTAGCCCATTGCAAAGCAGAATGAAGATTGGCTTACTTAGTAACAAGATAAGCCATAATTTTATTATTCTGTTTGCTCAATGAGAGACTAGCATCATGCTTCTAAACAACAGAGAATTCACTCATTAGTTTATATTTCATTTCATGTCACATGTTTGGAGTACTGCTCTTTGTCCTTGGCTACAAAGATAACTACATGAAAATATTTGTGCAGAGTGTCTTCCTGTAGAAGTGTTAACATCACACCAAAATATCTTCACACCCTTAGCAAAGCATCTTCACGTATTTTTTTTTTAAGTTTTTGTTTTGTTAATCCTCACCTGAGGATATTTTCCCATTGATTTTTTAGGGAGAACAGAAGAGAGAGGGAAAGACAGGGAGAAATGGATATAAGAGAAACACATTGATTGGTTGCCTCCTGCACGAGCCCCCACCAGGGCCTGGGCCCAGACGGAACCTACAACCAAGGTACGAGCCCTTGACCAGAATTGAACCTGGGGCCCTTTGGTCCTCAGGCCAATGCTCTATCCACTGAGCAAAACTGGCTAGGGCTCACATGTACAATTTTATTTGCCTAATAACATCTGTGAGAGAGGCAGGATTTATAGCTTTACCACTGACAGATGAGAAGCCTGACATGAAAGATTACTAAGGCTGGGGCACAAAGAGCACACATTCAAAGGGACCTCATTGGCTGGTGACTGGCTGGCCTAAGATTGTGTATCTCAGAAGCTGGGCCAGTGTGTGCATGCACGCAGTTCCCATACCTGGACCACATGAATATAGTCATTTAGGTACAATTTCTTAGAGTGAAAAAAGAATCAACTTTGATTATTCAAAAAGTAAGAAGTAATTCATAACTACTCATTTTTATTCCTAATAGATTTTACTGTCTACATACTTTGTATGTCGCATACACATCAAAAAATCTCCTAGTGTGTCAAAATGACTACTAGTATTTAAAGGTGACCAAAATAAACGTGATCTTGTTTGTGGCTGGTCCTTGGCATTAAACAGCTAGTTAAGGTCCTGATAAATCCATTCAAGTCTATATACACTCTTCTCCATGTTTAAGAAATAGCTCTTCAATTCAATAAGAGCAGAATTACAACTCTACCTTTCTTAATTTGGGGTAAAATTGCTGCAAGTGCTGATGGATATTTGTATTACCTCATCAAACTTAGATAAGAGCAAAAGCAACACAATAAACAAAAGTATAAAGGAATGACACAAAAAATGAGTATTAGGTTAAAGGATGTCCAAAAAGGAGAGAGAGAGATTGGAGGGAGAAATAAAAAACTTAAGATCTTTAATGGCTCATTATTTTTAAAGATAAAAAATCATGTATTGGTAATGCAAGCTTGTTATGACTACTGGAAGACTTTAAAAGATGCAATATTTGGGAAAAAATGTTTTGTAGGTGCAATAATGGTTAATATAGTAGAGGAATAGAAGAGACTCTATATTCCCACATAAATCTCATCAGTAGTTCCAGGGCCTGTGAACACTGCCAAATTCCCAAGGGGCTCTGACTGTGAAGTTGGACATTAACCGCAAACACCCCTTACTCCTCAGACCCAGGCTGCAGTGAGAATGGCTTCCGTCCACATAGGATCTGACCCCTGACCAAGAAGGAGCGTGAAAGCAGGTAGGTAGCTCAGACTCTGCCTCTGCTGCTGCTATAATCTCTTGGCTGAGATAGCTAGAGTGACACTGTCGCTACTGATGAGAAAGAGAATTGTTTATCACAGAGAAGATGATGTTTCATATTTAAGATACAAATATTTTACTTTCAGGACAGTTTTGTCTGGATTTACACAATAGCAATTTATTCTGAAAATCAAAGGACATTGGAGCTGCAAGATTGTTTCTAGAACTTGAGAATCGTGCAGAATTATAGAGAGAGAGCCACTGCGCTGAAGACTTTATACTTTCTTGTCTTAGTGACCTCCCTATAAAGAGGGGAGGCAGACTTAGAGGCAGGCAGTGGTTTCACTCCCCTCAGGCATAAATACAAGAACAGTATCATTTTATAGACTGTAGTCTATGGTTATGGAGCGTCAGTTACTACCCAGAAAACGACAGCTCACACAACTCAATGGAAAATCTATTCCCGTAGAATTCACTGCCCTCACTTGTCAATCCTGCTTGGGAAACAGCCTTGAAGAATAGCTTCTGGTCAAGATGGCGAAATAGGTAACCTCTATGCTCACCTCCTCCAACGTCCATATCAAAATTATAACTAAATTATAGAACAATTCTCGTTGAAAACTAGCTGAAGACTAGCGGAAAGGAATCCCTATAATTAAGGATATAAAAAAAGCAACATCAGGACCTCAAGACTGGGGGAGAGGCAGAGCAGGCAGGTCCCACATCCCTCGTGTGGAAAATAAGGACTGAGAGTGTATCACAGATGCAGAGGTCCTCCCTGAGAAATGTAGGGTCCCCATTCCACATCAGGCTCCCCGATCTGGGGCATCAATGCCAGGAAGAGGAGTCCCCGTAACCCCTGGCTGTAAAAACCAGGAGACATCAGTCAAATACAAAGGGCTCCCATAAATGAAGGAACTGCAGGTCTTAAAGGGACCATGCACATACTGACTTGCTCAAAAACTCAATCACTCTAAACCAGCGGTTCTCAACCTGTGGGTCGCGACCCCTTTGGCGGTCGAACGATCCTTTCACAGGGGTCGCCTAAGACCATCCTGCATATCAGATATTTACATGATGATTCATAACAGTAGCAACATTACAGTTATGAAGTAGCAACGAAAATAATTTTAGGGTTGGGTCACAACATGAGGAACTATATTTAAAGGGCCAGAAGGTTGAGAACCACTGCTCTAAACTTTAGCATAGTGGTAGCAGTGCAAATGGCTCCAGGAACAGACAGAAAGAAACTAAAATGACTAACTTCAGGGCAAGAGCTAGAGGGTCATGGGTTAGGAAAACTCTATCGAGGGTGCTGGAAGGCACTGTAGTTTCTTTGAGGAAAGTATCAGAAAGAGAAATTAAGTAAATAATCCCATTTACAATTAAATCACAGGTATTATGAATAAATGGGTGTGTGTTCATAGGTATTTATTATGTATTTTATTATTTATTCCAAGGTGGTGAAAGACCTGCACTTGGAAAACTATACAACATTGAAGAAAGAAATTAAAGAAGATACAAATAAAAGGAAGCATATACCATGCTCGTGGATACGAAGAATAAACATTGTTAAAATATTTATATTACCCAAAGCAATCTAGATTCAGTGCAATTGCTATTAAAGTACCAATGCATTTTTCACAGAATTAGAATAAATAGTCCTAAAATTTATATGGAATCACAAAAGACCCCCAATAGCCAAAGCAATCATGAGAAAGAAGAACAAAGTTGGAGGTATTATGCTACTTGATATCAAACTATACTACAAGGCAATAGTATTGAAAACAGCATGGTACTGGCATAAAAACAGACACATACGTCAATGAAATAGAGTAGAAAGCCCAGAAAAACCCCATGCCTAAATGATCAACCAATCTATAACAGAAGAGATAAGGATATACAATGTGGTAAAGATAGTCTCTTCAATAAATGGTTCTATGAAAACTACACAGTTACATACAAAAATGAAACTAGACCACTGTCTTAAATCATATACAAAAATACATTCAAAATAAATTAAAAATGTAAATGTAAGACTTGAAACCATAAAACTCCTAGAAAAAAAATAGGCAGTAAATTTTTTGACATTGCTTTTACTGATATATTTTTTTATGTGTCTCCCTAGGCAAGGAAAACAGAAGAAAAAAAATAAACCTATGGGACCACATCAATCTAAAGTTTGCACAGTGAAGGAAACCATCAACAAAACAAAAACACATCCTACCAAATGAGAGAAGATATTTGCCAATGACAGATCTGAGAAAGGGTTAATATCCAAAATGTATAAAGAAAACCCTTTAACTTTTACAATCTAATATGCTTCAGGAGTTCCCACTTATTGTTCACCATGTCATTAAGCTGCCCTCAGGAGTGCAATGAAGCCCCGCTTCCACACATATGTTTCTGTGCCAGTAATGCCACACAGTCGGCAGAATTATAAGAACATCCATCTTTTCCCTTCTACGGCAGCATAAAATTTTCATGGTGTAGGAACAGAATTCTAGTGATCCCTTAGAATTACAAGCTTAAACATCCTCATATTGCTCCTCAGTGGATTAGGTTCTTTTTTTTTTTTTTTTGTAAATACATATTTTATTGATTTTTTTACAGAGAGGAAGGGAGAGGGATAGAGCGTTAGAAACATCGATGGGAGAGAAAAGTCGATCAGCTGCCTCCTGTACATCTCCCACTGGGGATGTGCCTGCAACCCAGGTACATGCCCTTGACCGGAATCAAACCTGGGACTCTTCAGTCCGCAGGCCGACGCTCTATCCACTGAGCCAAACCGGTCTCGGCAGATTAGGTTCTTATATGGCAAGTCATGCATTGTAGGCCTCCACTCTGTCTCAATGCTTGAGTTTTCAGGTTAGAAACACAGAAACTATTTCCCCCCAAGTGGTCACCCTGGCTAGAATGTGAACTAAATACTCTCTAGACCAGAGTCTTATACTGCTTAGCTTGCCATCCATGTTGGTGGCATGTTTTAAGTCAAGGACCTTCTCTAGAATGTTTGCTCATCTTCAAAATACATTCAGTAGAGTGAAAATAGGTATTCGTTTCTATTGTTTGTTATGAGGCAAGAACAAAAATTACCCCTTCTTTCTTCTAAGTTCTTGAAGAAAAGGAGCCTATGATTGCCAATATTGTATTCACACAAATGAAAGGTAATAATATATAAATGCCTTCTTTACTTTATATTTTGTTGTAGTATTTTCCTTGTATCTTCACCTTTTGAGTCTAAAAGGTGCAGGGATGATAGCTAAATGGAAAAGTAATTTGAAGAGGAGAATATTTGAACCTTCCTAAAGAAATGTCTTCTCGCCGAAACCGGTTTGGCTCAGTGGATAGAGCGTCGGCCTGCGGACTGAGGGGTCCCAGGTTCGATTCCGGTCAAGGGCATGTACCTGGGTTGCGGGCACATCCTCAGTGGGAGATGTGCAGGAGGCGGCTGATCGATGTTTCTCTCCCATCGATGTTTCTGACTCTCTATCTCTCTCCCTTCCTCTCTGTAAAAAATCAATAAAATATATTTTAAAAAAAAAGAAAGAAATGTCTTCTATTATTAATAACACTAGAGGCCCGATGCATGAAATTCGTGCAAGAATAGGCCTTCCTTCCCCTGGCTGCCGGCACCAGCTTCCCTCTGGCACCTGGGACCTGGGCTTCCCTTGGGCCACCAGCAGGCACCCAGGGCTCAGACTTTCCTCATAGCCCTGGCTTCGTCCAGAAGGATGTCCAGTCTAATTAGCATATTATGCTTTTATTATTATAGATTGGTATTGTAAATGTCTAGTTATTTTGGAATTATAGAGTATAAAATAAAACTATAAAGTGTTGACTTTGTAATTTAGTCCTGACTCTATCACTTATTAGGCATGAGGACCAGGAAAAATTATTTACTTTTCTAAGCCTCCATTTTCATGTGTGGAAAATGGAGAAGAAACTGCTGTCTCTTGGGATTTTGTTAGGGTAGGGGAAGATAATGTATATATGGAGCTTAGTACAATACTCCTTACAGCAATGTCATGATATTTCACTTTTCTTATCTCCATAGTGGGTAAGCTTGAGCAACTTTGAAAAGATTGTTTTTAAAAGAAGAGGTAATTTTAGAAGAATGTGTCTTTCGTTGCACCAACAAAAACATTTAAGTTCTTTCTAGTGGTGTAGACTTGTCCAATCACTGGTAGACTTCCAAGAGAAACAGTAGCCAGATCCATAACTTTAGGAGACACAAGGACTGAATAAACTTTGTGCTTTTCATCAGTTGGGAGCTGGCCAGTTTTTCCTCATAACTAATTAAATACATAAATCATAAACAAAATTTCTCAAACTCTATAGAAGCCATACAATTAACTACTAATGACTTACACGTAAATGCTATCACTAATGACATACCACAGGTATTTTATTATATCCCCAAATTTCTTTATTAACCTTATATTTTACAAAAGTGAAAAAACAAATTGGTTTTAAATATGTCTTTCATTTCACATTAAGTTAAAGCAAAATAAAGTTATAATATATACTAAAACTATGAAAAAGCCCTTGTAAATTAATCACCTAAGTTTCAAAGTACGTGATAGTGTCTTCTTTGAATAAAACTGACTAAAATTAAGACTAGAAATAATCTAACTTTATTTTGAACTTTTATGAAATATTACTATGTTTTGCTGTTGACAAAATTGTCATTAAAAATGTAATATAAGACTATTCAGAAAAATGTAATCCCATAAAATATGGTATTATGGATCTTAAAGCACCAGTTTCTAATCACATTAAAAACACAAATACACAAACAAGTTTGTTTCAACTACTAAATAATTCAATTAAACGAGTGGATATAATGTAATGGTAGGGATAATAGTTCAAGGCAGGGAGGTAGAGAAACTGCAAGGAAATATAAATCTACAAAGTCTGTGCTGAGGAGTGTTCCAGATTCTCAAGGCTGAAAAGTTAGTTCCTTTCCTTGCTACAGTTAGTAAATTATTACCTGAATTAAAGAAATACAATGAGTATACCTTTAAGGAACACACACACACACACACACACACACACACACACACACACGTGTGTGCACACTAGCTAACTAAAAACTTTCACCAAGAGAAACACCTATCTAAATCCAGGTCATTTAGAATCTGCCTTGGGAAAATTAAAATAAGACTTCTCACCAGTTTAAATTTCTTATTGAGAAATAAATACAGTGCATAATGTTGTGACAGGATAGTAAGAAGCAAGGAAAATTCTTGGGCAAGTGGAATAGGGAAACTGAGATGAGAAAATTAAACAAGGCCAGTTTGGGCAGCTTGCAGCTAGCTTGTGAATCACAAGACCTTATCTTCCCCAACCAAGGACACTTGAGAGCAAATAGCTAATACCTCTCCTCCCTAACCAGATAATACATAGCTTAAATCACCCTGGAACTGCTAAGGCAGAGGCGGGGGGGGGGGGGGGGGGCGGGCGGGGGAGGGAGAAGGATAAAAAGGGGCATTTTATCTCACTCACTGAACAAAGAGGTAAGCAGTCTTGGGACTTACCAGGTAATCTCATAAATTCTGGGAAAGCTACCACAAAGTAAAAGGGGGACCTTGAAATCCAGTCTGTGCCCAAGATATCTAGCAGAGGAACCCTGAAATCTGTAGACTGAAGGTTATAACAATCCCTTGAACCCCCACCAGGCATGCACTTAGATTAGCTGGGTGCCCACTTATGTTTCATGACAAGTATAATTTTAACAAATTTGCTTGCTTTGCTTCCTTAATAAATTTGCTTGTTACAACATTGCTGTCCAGTGTCACTCATTTGAAATCTTTCCTGCAAGATTGACAAGAGTCCCGTCTGACCCAGGGGGCTGTCTGATAACATCTTTCTGGTGTTCTATAACAATGTGATACAGAATTAAATTGGCATGTACAATCAATATTGTGGGGGAGCACAGGAGACTTAGTTGGAAAGTTTGTAAGGAGAAAATTACAACCTAGGTGAGTTGGCTGAAGGCGGCCACCCCTAATTGTTCCTTAACCTTTCCAAACAAGTCTGTGTGTGTACGGACCCTTGGGTGTTTACCGGAATCTTTATGCTTAATCTTTAGACATCCTTGCTTAAAGGCCACAGCAGACGCATGTGTCCTCCCAAGAATGCTTATCCTGATTTTATCTAAAAGTTAAACTTTAGCTCAAAGTGCTGTTACCATAAAAGCCTGAAGAGGCAGGCAAATGAGGCTGTCTGGTTCCTATAGCCAGACAGTCCCTTAGCCATCTCTTTCACAGCAATCATGTGTCAGAGTAATCATTCATCCATTGCTCAGAGTCTGCTGGTCAGCCCCAGCACAAAATAAGCTCTAAGGGCATACAGGATTCTCTATATATTTATACAGATATTCAGTATTAAGTATTCAATGTGTTTATTTTCCTCAAATTAATTAAAAATTCATTGCATTAGCTAAATTGTAAAACTGAGGTCATAATACCCTTCCACTAAAACAAAGTGACCACTATTCTGCGTAAAACAGGAAAATCAAATGCAACACATTACCTTGTGTCACCTGTTGAACTGCCAACATGATCCCAGACACAGTATCTGGAAGCAAGTTTTCTTTCAGATTGTAATGTAATGCCCATTCCAAAATCGGTAGCCGCCTTCTACACCACTGTTTAAAGCCTTCACAATGGGGAGCCTTCACCTTGCTCCAGAGCACACTTTTCTTTTTCCTCTTTGCCCCTGTCATTTTTCAGATGTTCTCTTGCAGAAGTAAACTTTAGACAAGAAAAAAAACTGCTGCAGAACAACTCCTTTCAATGCAAGGCTCCAATTCTTCCGTGGTTTTCAATGTCAAAGCTATCCAAAATATAAACCAATAAAAGAGAGAGGCAGGTAGAGAGATTAACAGGTGCACTTAAATATATGTGGCTGGGCTGTATGTATTATTATGGTGCAGCTAATCATTCTAGATAAAAAATAAAGATTAAAACCTTGAAACCTTATCTGAATGAGATGGGGAAATGGTTCCTGTTAGGATAATATTTTTCCAATCTTGGAAAAGAAATGAGTTTAGTGTAAAGTTGGTCTAGAGCTCTCTCACCAGTAAATTCTTGTATATGCTCTGCAGTCTTAAATGTTTGGCTCCAATCCCATGACTAATGTAGTTCTGGGCATGTGTTGGAAGTAGGCTGGGTCACGCTAACGAAAACAGAAAGCATTCAGCTAGCTGATCCCTCCCTATAAGCTATGCAAAAAGATAAAACTTCCAGAGGGCTCAGTCCTGCAAAATAAAATCAGAGAATTTTGACTTACCTCTTTGGGAAGTACTAATATACGTTTTCAGCTCTACAAAATTCAGAAACATAAGAGATAATGTCCTTATCATTTTTAGTCCCTGGGAGACTAAAAATATTCATTCATTCACTAACAGCAATACTTACATTTGTATTATGCTAATTCACTATATAAGCAAATAATTTCAGAAGCTATATTGAATATATATTATTGAGTATATTGAGCATATATTATTTTTATAATCCAAATTCACAATAAAGATTTTTTTCAAAACATATCTAGGTCATAAATTCAAATCTATGCTGACAAAATAAGAAGATTTGAAAGCTTGACTGAAGTTACTGATCAACAGCAACAATTCATTTAAATGTAATAATTTAAATTCATTTTTTAAACTTTGTGTTCCATGTTAGTAACAAAGAATTCATATAAGCAGGATTATTAGAATTGAAAAGGAATCTGTATTGAAGTACCTAAACAGTGCCAGCAATTGTGCTAAAACGTACTAAGACCAGGAGGGAGCAGAAATTAACTTGATAAAATACTTTTGCAGTTTCTCAATCAAAAGACTCCTAAAAATTTTGAATAAATCTTTCCTTAAAATCTTTTAAGTGTAAATCTGGAATTCCATTTCCAGGTTTTTTTTGTTTTTGGGGGTTTTGTGTTGTGTGTTTTTTGGGGTTTTTTTTTTGCAATTTCATGTACTTAACACATTATTTAAGCATGCCAAATTCCTTCTCCAGAGCATGGTATCACTCCTACTTATGATCAGCAATACCAAAAAACCTTTCTGAAGAAATTTATTCACACCCATAAGATGATCAGAGAATCTTTGACCCAGACCATAAAATTCAAAAGACTAAAGAATATGTATGCAAAAGTTTCATTGGCTAAATTTAAAGTTCAATACTATGTATCATCTATATGAGAAATCTGTTCCCAAATGTCTAGGCAACACCGATATATATAATAAAAAAACACAAACTTATCTTTGACCTACCGTGTGAAAGTACAGAAAAATTCCTCTTTCTCAAATATTATTTTGATTTCAACTCTAACATGTTTGATCATTCAGTGTTCAATGTCAAACTTAAACTCATTAGCACAAGCGTGAGACCTCTCTCCCCTCCCTTTTACCCCTCTGATTAGCTTCCCATCGACTCTATTTAACCCAGTAATTATTGATTGAAAACCACATACCGTTAGACTCTGTGTGAAGTTATCTGAAAGAGGGGATATATATTGTCTTTATTGTCTAGGAGTTATTTAATTAAGGAAATAGGAAAATGTATAACTCACTCAAGGCAGAATGGGATAAATAAATAATCAAGTCACACAGTAAAGCTATGGAAGCTCAGAGGAGGGACAATTACGGTCCCACTGAGAAAAAGCCTTCGCACACTGCATAGACCCTCTGTTCCAGCAGATAATGAGGCTCACCCTCTGCTGCATACTGGCCCTCCAGCATAACGCTACAGCAATTCCCCTAGCTCCCTGGTATTTCTCCTTGTGCTAAACATTTATCCAATCCTTACCTCTTCCATGAAGCTTCTGGTTTCCCCACAGTTTTCTTCTTGCTGCAAACCCAACATCCAGGTAGCCCTTAAGCTATTCGTGGGTGTACAGCTGCGCTCCTTCTCACTGCCTGTTGGTTTTCTTCCTTGAAATCTCCTTCATGTAATTTTAGCCAGTCACGCTGGTGAGATTGTAAATTCCTTGCGAGGAGAGATTATGCACATAACTCGCTTTGCCACTTTCCTAGGACCTAAAAGAAGGTTCTGCAGACGTAGGACCCACTCAATAAGAATTAACACATGAATGTCCCTACTCCTGAAAGTACCCAAGAATTATTTAGTCTATTTCAGCCTGGCTCCAGGCTATGCTGTTAGAGGAACAGGAGACTAGGTGGAGAGAGAAAAACAGTTAGAGATAGTAATGGGGAAAATAAGGACTCCTCCGCATTCAATCACCATGTAGGGAAAGGTCTATCTCTTTTCAACACAATTCCTTTTGCTACTATGAGAGAATGTGGATAATGGAAAGAGGAGAAAGTAGATAGTGAATGCAAGAGAAAGGGAGGAGACAAAACAGAGAGAGAAACCTCCTGGGCTGGGGTTTTAGAGAGTTTTAGAGGTTAGCATGTAAGAGCCTCTGGAGCAATTATGAAGTATGAGATAACTGTGCCAGGCTCAAATGAGGAAAGAGTCTTTAAAGAAATATTTTTCAGCCCTGGCCAGTGGGGCTCTGTTGGTTGGGTGTCATCCCATGCACCAAAGTGTTGCTGGTTTGATTCCTGGACAGGGAACATGCCCAGGTTGTGGGACCAATTCCCGGTTGAAGGGGGGTGGGGGGAGGCGTGCAGGAGGCAGCTAATGGATGTTTCACTCTCACATGGGTATTACATTTTCCTCTCTCTCTCTCCCCCTTCCTCTTTCTCTAAAATCCATTTTTAAAAATCTTTAAAAAAAGAAATATTATTCCGTTTATGAATTGGATCACATTTAATGGTTTTTGAGAGACACCAGTGAAGATTGATATTCTTATCACATTACTTTTTATTAAATTTATTGAGGCGAGATTGGTTAATAAGACTATATAGGCTTCAAGTGTACATTTCCATGAGACATGATCTGGATAGTGCCTTGTGTAGCCAACACCCAAAGTCAAGTCATCTTCTGTCGCCATACAGGTGACCCCTTTACCCTTTTCTACCTTCTCACATTACTTTTGAATGTGTCATTATGCTTCTTTGAACATGATCTGTGTCAAGATTGGGACACCTAAAATGCTGATTCATCTACAGGTTGCATTTGGAAATACAGACTCAGAAACCTTGGAGGGCATCAACTCCCAGTCCATGCTTACTTCAGGAAGCTGGTGGACAGACAGCATTTCTAACAAGAGGACACTGCACAAGGTTCCCATCTGAGGAGGAGAGCCGAGGCCACAAGGGCCACGTTCTGCTCAGAAGCCACGGACCTGGCATGGGGGTACACCCACAGGGATGAAACATTTTAGCAAGTCGCCCACTAGATAGAGTACCTTTTCTTAATCGGTACCTTTTCCAATTTTACATAGGTTGGCACCATCCTGAATGGAACCTCTGTTTTATTTCTTCCATTGACTAAAATTAACAGGCTTAGCAAAAGAGCCCATTCTGATATCCAGACATTCTAATTATTAGAACATGTTTCCCAATAATTGAGCCCAAATCTGCTCGATGCTGTTCAGAAACACCGCGACCTTTCCATGGGAACGCGCCGAGGCAGGCCAGTTACGTCCTGAACGGTGCAGCTCATGCTCTACCCCCGACAGGCCAGCCGCCGAGCAGAGGGAGCCAAGCCCTGTGCTCCCAGTGCTTTGACCTGCTTTGCTTTCTTTAGATTACAGAGCCCTTTCCAGTCTGCTTCTTTACCATGTTTGTTTTCTTTCCAACGTTATTCTATATTCTGTGACTTATTTTGACTCATAATAGGGACCAACAGAGATGGCTGTAGTGAAGCAAAAAAAATAAAAAAGCGTAGGGAAAAGAATTGTACATTCAAATGCTTCTCTTACCATGATCGAAGGCATTTTAAAGGACATGGTTAAGGAGGGAGGGAGGGAGGGAGGGAGGGAGAGAGGAAGAGGAGGAGGAGGAGGAGGAGGAGGAGGAGGAGGAGGAGGAAGTAGAAAAGGAAGAAAGATATAATAATTCATTCCTGATCAATCAAAATCCATGCCTTCCAGGTGTGGGGCAGGGGCTGGGAGGAGGAGTGCAAAAGGGGTGGGGGGCATCTGTAAAATTGTCAACAATAAATAAAATAAGTACAAATATCACCCAAAATACCCATACCTTTGATTATATTTTCCTTTTCGATGGTCTGCTGGACATTTCTAGCAATGTCCAGTTAGCATCCTTAATTTACCATGTCTTAAATCAAACTTATTTTTCACCAAATCCATCACCTCTTCCTGAATTCCTTAACCTCACTACTTGGCACCAACATTCTTAGAGACACCTGAGACAGAAATCTCAGAGACATCTACGTCACCATCTTTTCCTTTTCATTGACATTCACTTCGTCAGTTCTGTCTCTAGATCTTCTGAATCCTTACTGCCATTAACTCAGCTCCCACTGAGTGTACTTTGTGGACTACGCCTATAAACTCTGATCTGGTCTTTCCCCTCTGGCTTGCTTGGCCCGCTTCATTCATCTCCCCCTCTGCTGCTGTTACCTTCAATCATTCCCTGTTCTTTAGCATGCAATATACATACAGCATAAGCTCCCAATTCAAACGTTGACTGAGCACTTATGGTGGTGCCATGGTACGTGCTTTTAAAATGTTCATTTATTTATTTGTCATAATAACCCCGTGAAAAAAAGGAACTATTGTTCACTGTTGCCATAAAGGGGTTATAAGTACAGGCCCAGAGATATTAAGAACCGTGCCTAGAGAAACACTGTAATAAATAGAGGAACATGAGCAAAACGTGCCAGGCAACCAGTAGAAAGAAACAGTGTTCCAACTGCAGGGATTGCATGCAAAAGGCTAACAGGGGCGTGGCCTGGAAGCTTCAGGGTACTGGAAGGAATAAGGCTGGAGAATAGTAAGGGCAAGAAAATTAGAGTGGCAAGAGGTGAGACCAAGGAAGAGGTAAGAAAAGCTAAGTTATATAGTGCCTGTGAGGTATTTTAAGGAGCTTCTACTTAGAACTAGTGTCAATGGCAGCCACCGCATGTTTCTAAGAATGCTTTGGTGTGTAACAGCTCATTCATAATAGACAGAAACTGGAAAAAGCCCAAGGTGGAGAATAAATGAACAAACAGTATTACACCTATATTATGGAATGCTATTCCACAGTAAAAAGGCACAAACTCATGATATAGGCAATGATATGTGAATTTCAAAGGTATTATGCTGAGTGGAAAAAAAAAGCCACACAGAAGAAAATATACATTATGAAGTCCTAAAACACGTAAAATTTCTGATGGGAAAAAAAATTGAACAATGGTTGCCTCTGTGGAGTTGGGGCAAGAAATTCCTGGAAAGTAGGGTTGCCAGATCAAATACAGGATTTCCAGTTGAGTTTGAATTTCAGATGAACAGAGGTTTTTTAGTATATGTCAGTGATGGTGAACCTCTGACACGCGTGTCAGAGGTGACACGCAAACTCATTTTTTTGGTTGATTTTTCTTTGTTAAATGGCATTTAAATAGATAAAATAAATACCAAAAATGTAAGCCTTTGTATTACTATGGTTGCAAATATCAAAAAATTTCTATATGTGACACGGCCCCAGAGTTAAGTTAGGGTTTTTCAAAATGCTGACACACCGAGCTCAAAAGGTTCACCATCACTGTCCTATGTAATATATGAGACATTATGCTAAAAATATATTAATTGTTTTACTAAAATTCAATTTAACTGAGCATTCTGTATTTGGCAACCGTGTGAGAAAGAAACATTAAGAGAACTTTCTTGGTCGTGGTAAACCTTTATCTTCATAAAGATTTGTGAATACATTAGTCAAAGCCATGTAAATTTTACCTCAGAGAAAAAAAGAGAAACAAGTATTTAACTTTGGTTAGTGATACACATGCTGACATACTAAAGGGAAATACATTGATGCCTGCAACTTTAAGATATCTCTTTATATAAAAGCCTAATATGCAAATTGTCCCCACAGGAGTTTGACCAGGAGACGGATCGCTCACTATGACGTGCGCTGACCACCAGTGGGCAGCGTGGAATGAAGAAAGGCCCCAGCTGGCAGCTGGCAGCTGGGGAAGGGAGGCCCTGACTTGCAGCCCGAAGACTCCGATTGGCCCTGATTGCTGGCCAGGCCTAGGAACCCTATCCATGCACGAATTTCGTGCACCAGGCCTCTAGTATAAAAAATAAGATGGGTTAATGGCTGAATAGAGGGATGAATAGTATGTAATAAAGCAAATACAGTACAATATTAACTGTAAAATCTAAATTCATTGTAAAATTCTTCCAACATTTCTGTATGCTTGAGAATTGTCATAATAAAATCTTAGGGGGAAAATTCCCTGCCCTGCTTCATGGAATTTACATTAGAGTGGAGGGAGACAGACAATAAATAACATTAGTAGGTAAATTATAAAATGAAATAGAAAGTAAGAAGGGATGGGAGAAACCAAAGGGAAAGAGTTTAGTGTGCTGGGGGTGGAACTCACAGTGTTAAATATCCTGGCCAGGGAGGAACTTCCTTCAGGCTGTGGGGCAATGAACGACAGGCAGATCTGTGAGAAGAGCAATCATACCTGAGAAAGGGGGGAATAGGGGGTGCAGATGGGGGCTGGGCAGTGAGAGTGAGATTGGTGAGAGGAGGGCTTGATATGATTTGTTTTAAAGGAATTTCTCTCTGCTTATTGTGATAGGAAGAGATAGAAGCTCTCTGAGGTCTTGTCCATTCTTAAATTTAGAAAATGTCTTCCCTTTTGCAGATATCAAAAAATATTTGTTGGATAAGCACTTATAAACATGAAATAACTCTTTCAGTGGAAAATGTATATTTTATTCTTTTAAGTACTTTTTTATTTCAAGCCAATATTACTTGACTGGGCCATTTTAAATGGTCTTAAACGTTTTAAATGCCCTTTCTCTTTGAAAAGATAAAATAATAAATCGCATGTAACCCCTGAATTATACCAGAAAGAAATCAAAGGCCTTGGTTATAATTCAATTGACTATTTTTTTCCAATTTTACTAGGACAGTGATGGTTATTTACGATCCTCTTCCTCCTCCTTGCATCCAGCTGCCCCATCCTTCAATACACCTGCCTTTTTTTTCTCTCTCCAAATTTTTATCAACTTACTTAATAGAATAAAAGGTAAAGACTTCCCATAAGATGGCTCTTGGGAAGACCCTGCTCCCCATGCAGTCCTTGTGCCATGCTATTGGTCTGCTAACCACGATCTAAGATTAATTATGACCAGCTCCCTCACCTATAGTCTGCAGCGATGATGACTAGCCCTGCCTTTCTCTTAAGATCTAGGCACTTGTCCTAAAATGTGCCGGATCTCTCAGCTGCCCTTGGACAATTTGACTCGAGGTGATTATAGATCCTTTGTCTTCCCCATCCCACCATCTAAAGTAGTCTTGCTTTTTTAACTTTTGCAGCTCACTCACCTACCATTGACCTCCCACGCCATTTACGTAGAGTGTTGCCCTAATCCTGGTGTGCTGTGGCTTGTCTATGCATCTCAGTGTCTCTTCTGAACTTCAGGTCAGAAGCCTCCGTGCCATTTGGAGTCCTGCTACCTGCAGGAGGCTCCCAGAGAAGCAGCAGGTTAGCATGTGAAGCTACCTAGGGATTTTCTCTGCACCAAGAAGCAAAACAAATTTAGCAAGTGCAAGTGACTTCCAGCCATTGATTTCTCACAGGGACAGTGGGAAAATAACCTAGACAAAAGAGATGTTTTATGAAGAAATGGCAATGAGAGCCCCAGGTGTTATTTTGGAGTTTTTAAAAGCTTTATGAGGTGAAAAAAAAAATACATTTACCTTCATTTAAAACATTCTCAGTAATCTCCATTAATAAATGTTAGTATAAAGAAAACAAGTTTTGCCCTGATGGGGTAGCTCAGTGAACTAGGGCATGGTCCCAGTAGGCCAAGGTTATGGGTTCGATGCTCCAGTCAGGGCACATACAAGAACCAACCAGTGAATACACAAATAAGTAGAACAACAAATCAATGTTTCTCTCTTGTGCTTTCTCTAAAACCAAACATTAAGTAAAAATAAATAAAGGTCAAAAGAAAGCAAATATCCTTAATGACTTACTAGTATTGCTTTAATTATAGAAAATAATAGCAGTACTTTAAGCCAACTTTATTGATTCTTCACCCACTGGATCAACTAACACCATTCTAAAGAGTATTAGAAATATTGAGTAAATAGTGAAAATCCATCTTGAATTGTGTAAAAGAAATACACAAGTATAAGTAACCAGAGATTATGCTTGAATTATTCATAGTAACTAGGGACATATAGAAATTCATTAATATAATACACTAGAGGCCTGATGCATGAAATTCATGCAAGGGTAGGTCTTCGCAGCCCCAGCTGCCTCACCCCTGCCTGCACCGGCCTTGGCCTAGTGATGCTTATGACCACAACCACACCCTCTGGTTCCCCGGAATCCTCGATCAATCACCCTGCAGAGGGTGACCTGGGCCTCCCTCTTTGGGGCGATTGCAGAGCTCCTTTCCCTCATCGATCACCCCCACCCCCAGGCGGTGGCCTGGGCCTCCCTTTGTGGGGTGATCGTGGGGCAATGGCAGAGCCCCCTGACCAATCCCATTGCACCCGCCTTAGCTGGCCTGTCACCAGTGGGTGTCATAGCGTAGTCGTCCGGACAATCGTTCTGCTGTTCAGCCGTTCAGTTGATTTGCATATTACGCTTTTATTATTATAGATGACTGGGAACAAATTAGTAACAGGGAAAAATGAATTCATTAAATAATTCTAAAATAGTGCATTTTATTCTGTTTGAAACTACTTCCCCAAAACAGATAATAGCTTATAACAAACAGTAAAAAAGACTTGAGTTTCTCTTTTTCATTCTATGTCCTGAAGCAAATGTGAGTGAACAAATAAATTCCAGAGATCACTCACAGAAGAGACAATAATGAAGAAAAATTGAATCTAAATAATTCAAAAAAAGTTAATACTCCAGTTGCTTCCACTTCCCCTGAAAAAATAAAAGTCAGCTCTAATTGTTAGGAAATAAAAAAAATATTTTAGTGTTTTAGAGTCCAAAAGTAGCATATCAGATGAATTGCAGATTGACAAGAGGAGACCACCCACTTACAGGACCATACACACCCACATACACATGGAATGGAAACCAGAATCAAGAGTTGAACTGCCTGTTGCTACCAGAGTCAAAAACTAGAGACAAGGTTGAATCTTTGAGGTGCTTTTATTCAGAGGCCAGTGATCCAAGAAAGAGTGGCAGGTATAATACCTGCCCCCCGCATCCCCCAAAAAAGCTCTCCCATCTTGTCTCAAGCCAGCTGGTATCTAGAGTCCTTGTAAATATTAGACCCCAGGCATTTGTCTCCCTTTAGGAAGGTCCTGTCCTTGATTTGCTTTCAAAATGTACTAGTATGTTCTTTCTGAAGATACATTATCCTTCCAACTTTGGTTTTCTTCTTACAACACATCCTCCCTAGTTTCCCAGGGCCCATAAGATAAATCTCTTACCTGTAGTTAGTTCTGTGACAACATGGATGGACCTTGAGAATATCATGCTAAGTGAAATAAGTCAGGCAGAAAAAGCTAAGAACCACGTGATTTCACACATCAGTGGGATATAAAACTGAAACTAGAGGACACACACAGCAGTGTGGGGCTGCCAGAGGAAGGGTTTAGGAAGGTGGGGGATGAAGGAGATGTAATACAAGGTGACAGAAGATGATTTGACTTTGGGTGGTGGGCACACAGTGCCATATACAGATCTTATAACATAGAAATGCACACCTGAAACCTACATGGTCCTATTAGTCAATGTCACCCCAATCAATTTAAATATATATATATATATATATATATATACACACACACACTAAATTCATGCAAAGGGCTCAGCCCTCGCAGCCCTGGCTTCATCCAGAAGGTTGTCCGGACGGTCGTCAGGATGGTTGTCCGGACGGTCATTCTGGTGTTGGTCTAATTAGCATATTAGCTCTTTATTATATAGGACACAGACAATAGTTTAGCGAAGGCCAAGGGAGGGTGAAGTGGAGTGAGTGGAGGTGGGCAAAGGGCAGGGAAAAGGGGGACACCCCAAATTATGTCAACATTAAAAAATTTTAATAAAAAAATAAGATTTCCCCATATTTTTCTTCCTGAGATTTACTGACTGTATGGGGAGGTTTCCGAGTGCTTTTCCTCTGAACTATTCCTTTAGGTCCTATCTAAGTAGAATCCTTATGATATAACAACATGAAAGGTTGCACATAAGTCACCTGTGGCAAAACAATTCTAATCAGTCAAAATGTGCCAGTTAGCTAAAATACAACCTCGTGGGCCCTGATGGAACGGAAGACCAGCTGCTTGTGTCACAACAGAAACAGAAACAAAAATGTAAGGTTAAAACAAATTAGTTACAAAACAGCAACGGTCAAAGGATGTCCCCAAAAGAGAAGAAAACAAGCAAAGAACAATTGTAACCAAAGTGTTCTTTCACACAGAGGAGAGCTCTCAGGCAGAAACGCACTCCCTCCCACGGGGGCTCTGGGATTAGTCACAGTCTTACTCCCTTGCCAAGCGGGTACTGGGCTGTCTCCAGGCCAAGCCCCAGAGGGCTGAAAAGCCCAGAGGCCAGTGATAGAGGACTCCTGGCGTGCACACCGGTTTGACTTGCCCGTCAGACTTGGGAGTCAGTCCCCCCACTCCTCAGAGACCTGTTTCCTTCACCAGCTAAGCATCTCAGACAGCTAACACCTAGAGAGGGAGAGAGGGAGAGAGGGAGAGTCCTGCAGATAAAGGACTCCTGGCAGGTGCTGGGAAGTCCCTGCCATCCCTGCCATGGGGGGTGAGTCTGCTACAAGCATCTGGGACCCTAGCTAAGTGGGCATGCCCCCCTCTTACTCATTTCCCTTAGTAACCAACAAAACAGACAGCAAGAACATAGCACTATGGCGTATGTCTATAGGCAATGGTACAGTGTCGCTTCCAGAAAGATCTGGCTCTTGCAGAGACAGGGTCCCTGGCTTGGTTGCCTCTTGTCTAATCTACAGAGGTAGAGGCGCCTCACACCTCTGCAACCAGAGAAGTGTTTTTGATCTGGAGCTGATTAGGCTCAGCCCGGACTTTCAGATTCAGAGAAAAAACAAACACACACAACCCTTAATGAACCAACTCAATGCCTAAAGAGGCGATGGGGAGACCCATGACCAGGAGCAGATTCCTACAGGAAAAAGTCCTGGCAGCGCTGCAGGAAAGAACTCCAATCATACCCTGGGACCCCCAGTCCAGGGAACCAGTGGGACTCCCGCCCTCACCAGCCCCGTACCTGAGAGTCCCACTGCTGTCCAGTAATTTGAAACGGGAACTGGAAGTTCAGCTGTCGGTGGCTACCAGAGTAATAAATAGAAGCAAAGTTGAATCTCTGAGGTGCTTCTATTCAGATGCTGCCCATGTAAGGCAGCAGGTATAACACCAACCCCCAAAAGCCACCCTCCCATCTCATTTCAAGCCGGCCATTATACAGGGTTAGAGGGTGGCAAAGAATCTAAAACTTAACGTGAGTTCCCAGGATCTGTTTTCTGTCCTGGTCCTTGTAAAGATTCGCCCCCAGACGTCTCTCTCCGTTCAGGCAGGTCTTGTCCGTGATTTTCTTTCAAAATGCATTTCTCTCAGAGTGATTGGACTATCTTCAAGGCTGCTTATCTTTATTTTTCTTACAACACGTCCTCCACAGTTTTCCCAGAGTCTGTAAAAAAAAAAAAAAAAAAAAAAAAAAAAAAAAAAAAATCTCTTCTCTACAGTTAGTGCAGTGTTTAGCTATTAGTCAACTGTGATTCTATTCTTATTGCTATCCTTCCCCTATCAGAATAAGATGAAAGTTTTTATTTAGTTAACCAAGGCTTCAGAACATGGAATGGCCCCACAGGGCACAAATAGATCCATCCTTCCCCAGTCTAGTTCCCATGGTGTCACTTCTTGCATAGCCATGCATCTAGCAACACTAAATTCCATATATATACATAAAATTCTTTATTGTTCAAAGTATTACATATGTCTCCCTTTTCCCCCCATTGACCCCCTCCAGCCTGCCCCAGGTCTTCACCACCCCATTGTCTGTGTCCATGGGTTATGCACATATGCATACAAGGTCTTTGGTTGATTACTCCCACCCATCCACCTGCTCCCCGACCCCCGCCCACTTCCCTCGGGGTTTCTGCACTCTGTTCCATGCTTCCCGTCTCTGGATCTACTCCGTTTACCTGTTTACTTTGTTACGTGGATTCCACAAATGAGTGAGATCACGTGATACTTATCTTTCTCTGACTGACTTGTTTCACTTAGCATGACACTCTCCAGTCCCTCCATGCTGCCTCAGAGGGTAAGAGATTCTTTTTTTTAGCAACACTAAATTTCTTGGTGTCAGCGTCATGATGTTTTTTTAGTACACATTCCATTCCGTTCATTCTGGGTGTTCAGCCTTTCAAACACGGAAGTGGTTTCTACTCATGTCCAGAGAACTCATTCCCTCCTCACATGCTTTGGATTTCTGATCAAGTATTACCTTCTCAGACCCAGATTGCCTTATACAAAAGTATTCCAATCATTCCCTCTCTCTCCAATTCTATTTTCCTTCTCTTTTTTTAAGTATGTATCACCATATAATTTGTCTACTTTTGATTGTTTGCCTCCCCCATTAGATTGTACATTTTTGAAGAGCCAGGGCCCTCTCAGTTTTGTTCAGTGCTATATATCCCAAGAACAGAAAACAGTGGCCAATACATAGTAGTCCCTCAATAAATATTTAATACATGAATAAATGGGAAAACAACATTTTGTGAAGATGTGAAACAGTGTTTTTTCAGACATGCTGAAGTTGAGAAGCTTGGAAACATGGGTTAAAAATGGAGAGTTAGGATTTACCCACTCAGGTGTGAAAAATGAAGCTAAACAAAACTGTGGGAGTAGATGAGTTCCTTCAGGTAAAGAGAAAGTGCTAAGAAAAAAGAAAATGGGACTGCATAGAGCAGTGGTTCTCAACCTTCTGGCCCTTTAAATACAGTTCCTCATGTTGTGACCCAACCATAAAATTATTTTCGTTGCTACTTCATAACTGCAATGTTGCTACTGTTATGAATTGTAATGTAAATATCTAATATGCAGGATGGTCTTAGGCGACCCCTGTGAAAGGGTCGTTTGACCGCCAAAGGGGTCGCGACCCACTGGTGTCGCCTAAGGACCCTTGATTTTGGGGCGGGGGGCGGAGTATAAGAGAGAATTCAAGTTTTGGGGAATAGGCTGTCAAAGACTAAGAAATGAATCCAAAGCAAAAGATGCTCAATTGAACCCAAAATTACAGGGAAGACCAGCCAGATGAAGAGCAGGTGGGTTGGTAGGCACTCATGGATCCCCTCTGAGAAACCAGTTGTAGAGTAGTAGAGCAGAAACCAAGTCTCAATACCTTGACATATGAAAAAGAGAGCAGGGTGAAAAGGTGTAGAGCTAGGATTCTTTTTGTGTCACCTGAGCTCCAAGAATACCTGAAATATTGGTTAAGTAAATAAGCCATAGATGAATAAATGGATACAATTTTCTCTCCGCAGTTAAGATGGCACATACATTTTGGCTGAGGTCGTGGGGTTCAAATGGTGAACAACACATTCTTTTCCATTGCACAGGTAGTGGAAAAATAGTTCCCTAATCAAAATCAACTTACTGAGCAGTCTTTGCCTCAGCAGTTTATTTTTGTAACTCCTTTTTAATGAGCTCCTATGGCTTTCATTTTTACTTTTGCTTTGTGTTTTAGTTTAAAATGCATTCTTAGTTAAGGGAGCTTTTAGAGAGCTGCCTTGAGGCCCTCATCTCTGCCTCAGTAGGAACTGACTCTTGTGTTCTTTGGGATTGAGGGCCTCTCTGCTGTGCTCCAGTGACTTAGCCTCCCAAGGTATGCCCAAGGGAACGCTGGTGCATAAAGGAGTAAGTCCTAAAATAAACTAACGAAAGGCCTAGTTAGGAAGGTAACATGATCATCTATGGGCTATGAGAATCCACTCAGCTTTCCACCAGAAGAGCCACCCAATAGTGTATGAATAAGTATATTTCTAGTGACGTTTTAAATGTAAAATTATGATTAAATTTCTTGCTTTTCTGAACACACAGCAGAGGGTATCAGCATTGCCTAGAGCAGTGGTTCTCCGGAATGAGGCCCAGAAATCAGGATTTTAAAAAGATTCTCAGGTGATTCTAATGTACAGCCAAGGTTGAGAACCACTGGCCTAGAGGGTTTCTTAAAACAGATTTCTGGGCCACACACTGCCTCATTTCTGATCCAGTAGTCTGGGGTAGGGCCAGATGTTTTGCATTTCTAACAATTTCTCAAGTGATCTGGATGCTGCTGGATACACTTACAAAGCCCACTGGTCTATGCAATCCATGCCATATATTTTTAATAACTTTTCCCCATAGTTTTCTGTTGTCCTTCACAGAAAAAGAGCCAAATTCACATTTCAGCTCTTTTGCTCTGGCTTCTGTCAGTTCCATTTGTGAGGAAAACAAAACAAAACAAAAAATGAACAAAGTGATGCTAGGAATAACCAACCCTGGATTTCTAGCCTTTTACTCATTTTTAGTGGAATGAAGGTTTTATCTTAGTCAATAAGGTATTAGTGCCTCTTAACAAATAAGAGCTTACCTGAATTATACAAAGGTGATACAACTGTCTAACACTAAAAAGTGATTCTCTTTCAATTACAAAATTTGTCTCCATTGAAGTCTCTTAATACTAGAAAAGGAAAATGGTGGTCATAAGATGACAGGGAAAAAAATAAGACTCATTTCCCACAGATCATAGTTATTCCATTTATTATTTTGTTTTTAAGTCAAAGAAGAAACAGCACATCTAGAATCTAAATAACGTAGGCAGGCTGTAATGCTTATATTGGGATGTTTAAAAGGAATTGTTTTTCTTCCTCTGGCTTAATGTATTGACAAAGAGACACAGCATGATATCATAATTAGGGTACAATCTGACTCTGTGTGCAGAGCTGACAGGGCGACTCCCCTGAGGCTCTAAATGAGCTTCTCACTGCTCTGCACTCGAGCAATTCCAAACTGGTTAGGGCCACGTAGATTAAAACATTGGTAAGAACAAATTAATGTTCGAAGAGGTACCAGCGTTAGATTTCTGCTTATCTTCCAGTTCTAAAAAGTAAAGATTAGAAATAAAATTAAGGCATTGCTCAACAAATAGTTTTGAATAAAATAAATATTAGCTTTTTTCAGAGATTTCATAACATTGATTTCTAAAGGACACACTCTCCTATTTATACTTAATCTATTTCTCCCACACAAATAAACTTTACTAGCTAATAAAGGCAAACTCAATATTAAACAAAATTCAAATGATAAACAATTATCTATGCTTTTATCAAACATATTATATTGTCCAGCTATAATGTGTTTGGGATGAAATACATTGAAAAAGACACAGGGAGGTGGCCAAAACGGGGAGACAAAGCAACATGGTCCAAATGAAAGAACAGAATAACACTCCAGAAAAAGAACTAAACAAGGTGGAGACAAGCAATCTACTAGATGCAGAATTCACATCACTGGTTATAAGGATATCAAGAAGCTTAGCGAGGACCTCAACAGCATAAAAAATAACACAGTAAGAAACGAAGGATACACTAAGCGAAATAAAAAATCATTTACAAAGAATCAACAGTAGGGTAGAAGAAACCAAGAATCAAATAAAATAAAATAAAACACCCAATAAGAACAGCAAAAAGAAAAAAGAATAACAAAATATAAGGATAGTGTAAGGAGCCTCTGGGACAACTTCAGGCATACCAACATTTGCATCAGGTGGGTGCTGAAAGGAGAAGAGAAAGAGCAAGAAATTGAAAACCTATTTGAAAAATAATGACAAAAAACTTCCCCAGTTTGGTGAAGGAAACAGACATATAAGTCCAAGAAGCTCAGAGTCCCAAACAAGATGACCCAAAGAGGCCCACACTAAGACACATCATAATTAAAATGCAAAAGTTTAAAGAAAACAGAGAATCCTAAAAGCAGCAAGAGAAGAACAGTTAGTTACCTACAAGGGAGCTCACATAAGATTATCAGCTGTGGGGGGGAGGTTGGGGCTTAATGGGGGGGATGAGGACACATTTGTAATACCTTAACTAATAAAAAAAAAATAAAAAAAAAAGATTATCAGCTGATTTCTCAAAAGAAACTACAGGTCAATATGGTACTGGCATAAAAATAGACACATGGACCAATGGAACAAAATCAAAAGCCCAGAAATAAACTCCCATGTATACTGTCAACTAGTATTTGACAAGGGAGCCAAGAATACTCTATGGGGGAAAAGATAGTTTCTTCAATAAATGATGTAAATATAACTGAATAGGTACATGCAGAAGAATAAAATTGCATCTCTATCCTATACCACTGAGACACACACACCCCAAAATATATTAAAGACTTAAACTTAGGAACTGAGATCTTAAAACTCCTAGAAGAAAACATAGGGGGGGAATTTTTGACATTGGTCTCAGTGGTGATTTCCTGGATATGACTGCAAAAGCACAAGCAATAAAAGCACATAAATAAGGGGGACTACATCAAACTAAAAAAAACTGCAGAACACAAGACACTCAACAAAATGAAAGGGCAATCTACAGAGTATGAGAAAATAATTACAAATTATATATCTGATAAGGGTCTATATCCAAAATATATAAAGAATTCATTTAACTCGAT